ATTCTAGAATTCTTTATGATTAGCACTTGCCAGTGGTTATACAAATAAACCTAAAAGGTCAGTGGCTGATGAGCTCACAGGAGGGAAGAGAGGCAAATATTTATAAGGTGTCTAGTGAGTTTGGTATTGTGTTAGACATTTCACATAGTGAATCCCTGTGAGATCCCCATGAGCATGGCCCTAGACCTGTACACAGAGCCAAACGGTGAGGCCCTAGCATGCTGAGTCATGCAAACAAAGTTACAAGCTGGTATGAGGCTGAAGAGGTTTCAAGTTGTTGACCTTATTCCAATCCCAATCATTGTCTTCCAGATATAAAACTGATAAAGGAAAGGAAAGACAGTAAAAAGGCAATAGCCAATACGTGTGAAAACCAAAAACCAATAAAGTGCCCTGTAAAGCTTGTTTTGGAGAATGGCTGAAGATGTGAAGGTTCAACGGATGACAGAGGAGGGGATGCTCATCCAGGTAGCCCATGAGCTCCTGTGTGTGGTTCTAAGAACACCATATTCATCCCCAGCCTTCTTCCTTGTACTGACAGTTCCTATTAATCTTAGGATGGACAGGCCAATGCCAGAATAAATCTACATTGCCAGTATTTATACACTACTTTTACCAAGCACTGTTCATATGCCATTTATAATGCGTCATCTCATTTATTCTCTGCATCAATCTGTGAGATAGATACTATTATTGCCATGTTATACCTGGAAAACAACTGAGGCATAGAGAGATTAATTGATAAGTGCTGGAGCACAAGTTTGAACTCAGCAGCCTCCTTGGCGCTTGTAAGCCTGCACTCTATGGTACCTTCCAGGATAAGCATATATTGCAGACTTTCTGCCCAGATACCAGGCTAATGCACTCGCTTATTTCACGTACATTAGCCTCTCTCCCTCTCTCTCTCTCCCTCTCTCTGTCTCCCTCTCCCTCTCCCTCTCCCTCTCTCTCTCTCTCTCTCTCTCTCTCACACACACACACACACACACACATGCATACATTTCCCTTTCTTGCCCCTTTTCCTCTCTCCCTTTTTCTGCTTGCCTATAGTATATTATCCTGAGTCCCAGATATCCAAGATTCCCCCTATCCTTTCCTGGCACTCACAACAAATACAAAAATAGTATGTAACCTGCTGGAGCATTCATTTCCTTTCATCAAGAGAAGGACCTCCAGTCCCCTTCCATTGCTCTAAGCAGTCTTCACTTCTTCCCCATTATTAAAAGTAGCTGGTCGTGAAGGGTAAACAAAGGAGGAGGCTGCAATGCTTGGTAAGAAATGTATGCATTATCCTGCCCATGTAATTGTAACCCCTCTGTACAGTATGTTCTCAAATAAAATAAAATAAAATAAAATTAAATTAAAATAAATAAATAAATAAATAAATAAAAGTAGCTGGTCGCTGGGCATTGGTGGCACACACCTGTAATCCTAGCTACTCTGAGGCTGAGATCTGAGGATCAAGGTTCAAAGCCAGCCCTGGCAGGAAACTCCGTGAGACTCTTATCTCCAATAAACCACTCAGAAAACCAGTAGTGGTGCTGTGGCTCAAGTGGTACAGCGCTAGCCTTGAGCTGAAAAGCTGAGGGACAGCGCCCAGAGTTCAAGCCCCATCACTGACAAAAAAAAAAAATGTAGCTGGTCATGCAAGATTCCCCCTAAGGGACCTTCATTAGCTTTATTTATAATACTCCTGCAGTTTGCTTGTTTCCTAATCTCGCTTTCTGTCTGAGCAGCCTTAACTGCATTTCCTCTGTGCAGCCTTGAGCTCCTTCCTAAAAAAACCTCTTGCATCTGACGTCTGTGTAGTCAATTCAGACATCACACCTGGGAGAGGTTTAAGGCTTGTGGTAGTATGTGGGACCCCTGTCCATGCATGTAACTGAATGCTAAACAAGTTATTAGGCCAGTGTAGGCCCCGCAGGCTTACTGGTCTACAACGTAAGAGGCAGCTTGGATAGGCCCTGGGCATTGTGGGCATGCAGAGCCCTACTCACTAGTAGATGGCAAATAAGGAAAATCAGGTACTTTGCAGTCTGCTAAATACCTGAGGAAGAGAAATGCCCAGGAAAGGTGGGCCAGCCCCTTGTCAGCCACAGCTACCACAACTGTGGTCCAGGGATCCAGAACTGATGTGAGTAAAAGGAAATGTGAGGACAGCAGTAAAACCTCAGGGAGGAAGGGAGGGATCAAGGGAGGAAAGGAGGGAGAGGGGGAGATGTGGGGAGAGAACAAGTGAGAGAAAGAGAACACAGAATTGTAGGGGGAGTGTGGGAGTGAAGTAAATGGCTACTCTGGTAGCTGTGTACACCAACATGTGCACACTCACACAGACATAGGCACACAACACAGGCTGGCCTTGCCTGGAGCATCCCTTTGATCTAGCTGAGTCATCTCAAACCTGTGAATGACGATGTGTTTGAAGAAAATATCCTAGTCATGCTTGTCCAGGCTTTCACACCACAAGCCCCACTTTCCCCACTTCTGTGCTCAAAGCATCTCGTGTCTCCTACCATCCAATGATGATGCCTTGAGCTTCAGCGGTCCTAGGTAGTCTCACTGTCCCATCCAACATTCCTACGGTTCCAGGACTGTATCTTAGTCCTCTGGGGGCCAATAGGGGTCATTTGGAAAGTCCTAAGTATCTGCCAGCTCTCTTGCTCATCCATATGTATTACATAGTCTACCTAGGGTTTTTGCTGTCTGTCAATCACAGTCCCCTTAGAGTGAGTCTTTCTCTTTTCTGTCTTCTTTTTTTTTTTGTCAGTCCTGGGGCTTGAATTCTGGGCCTGGGTGCTGTCTCTGAGCTTGTTTGGCTCAAGGTGAGCACATTACCTCTTGAGCCACAACACCACTTCTAGATTTTTTGAGTTTATTGGAGTCTCACAGAGTTTCCTGCCCCGCCTGGCTTTGAACTGTGATCCCCAGGACCTGGCTTTGTATTTACTTTAAAACCCTGGCCTCTTTCTATGCAGATCCTCTGCCCTTTTCTTTTCTAATAGCATTTTCATGCTCTAGAACAGACCTGCCATTGCCCTATCTTGAAGCTCCACATGTGTCTCCTCTGCCTCCTCTGTCTCCTTTCCTCTGCCTCAAGAGGCATCCATAGAGCTGAAGTAGGTAGTGCATCCCTCTACCTGACCTGCTGACCATTGCTTCCTACATCCTGCCCTCTTGTACTGAGTGTCTCTTGGGTGTAAGGTTCTTCCCAATGGTCTCTGGGAAGAGAGGGACAGGAAGTAAAGCCACCTTGGTAGTGTAGTACTTCTCCCTCAGATTCCCCACCTCCTACAGAATTTCCGGTTTCTTATTCCTCTTCCATATTTCCTGTACTTGGGGGCTTACTAAGGTCCCTCCCATTCACGCTGACACTCTATTCTTCAGTCTCATGAACCTGATTCATCTTCCTCCTCAACCTCCTCCTCCTCCTTCTTCTCCTCCTACTTGTTGTCATCAGTTAGTTAGTGTTATGACTCACCAGCACACCCATGGTGTAGGTGAAGGAAACTAAGCCGCCTGGACAAAGAATAGCTGGGCAGACTGGTTAAAGCCTTGTTCTTTGGCATTAGGGAGCCTGAGTGTGAGTCCTGGTTCTGCTAATTATTAGATTTCTGATGGGCACACATAATCACAGACAAGCTTCATTGACTGTGAAGTGAGGATATTAAAAACACTTACCTCATTGTTTTGTTAGGAGAACTGATGGGATTAGGCAGTAAAGGACTTTTTCAAGGTCTGTTGTACAGGAAAAGATCAGTAAGTAGTACACATCTTCATCAAATGGGAGAATCCTCATAGGTATTTTATTTCCTGCATGAGGACTTGAACTCAGGGTTTTCAACTAGTTAAGCAAGCACTCTATCCTTGAGCTATGCCTCCACTTGGGAGAAGTGTTATAGCTTTGATTTAGGAAGCAGGAGCAAGGCTTGATTATGACCTTACACAGATATGTGGAGATAAGGATCCTTAAAGTCCAATAGATAGGCTTGGAGTTTTAGATAGCTGAGTTCCTATGTAATGGCAAAGTCTAGGGTAAAACCCTTGGGGTCTTAGGATTTAAATAGTATCTATGGGGAAAACAAGAAATGGGAGCTGTGCATGACACCAGGGATTAAGAAAGTAACTGTGAGGACTAAGAAGGTAATTGGTTTGGCAAAATGGCCCCCTGCTAGAAATCTGTTTCAACCCTCTTCTGAATACCCATTTAGAAAACCAGGATTGTTGGTCTGTCAGGAGAGCCATTTGGGTCACTGCCCTGGGGATCCTATTGGTTAGATCATGATGACAGCTGTGACAATGAGTGTGTGAGTCAATCTAGCAGTCCTGCTTAGACTAGCTTGTATCTCTTGGTGCCTCAGGCAAGACATAGTTGCATAGAGGGACATGAATGCACATTTTCACTAAAGGGGACACTCGGCTCTCTGATGATAGACTTCCTAAGTGACTCCATTCTACATCATTTCTTCCTATGATGGTGGATTGCTAAGTGTAGCTAGAAATTGACTAGATTTGTATGTGTGAGATTTCCTCACCAAGTCAATTCACCCACCTACCAGCTAATTGTTCACTGAAAGGTTGGAGTGCTACATCTTTCTTAGATTGAATGACAAAACAGCACCAGAAGGCTTTGTCTATAATCCCTGCTGCTGGTGAGTCAGATGCATTCTCTCTCCCTGCCTCCCTTCTATGTTGCCGGTAGCTATGATTTATCATAGGAGGGTCATGAGAGTCAAAGACATCTTCTGCCATCATTTTGCCTCTCCTTACGGCTTCTAGTTACCACCTAGTTTGCTGAGGTCCTTGCCACATCCTCTGCCTAGCAGTGTTCCTGGGAGGAGGGACAAAGAGTGTCCCCAGGACAGCTGAGCACATCCCCCTGAGCCTCCAAGCTCACAGGCACAGGAAAACACACAGTGGGTAGATTTTTACAAAGACAAGAAGCAAAGGTGAGAGGTTGGAGGAGGGGACAGAACGGATCAAAAGGCTGAAGGGCTGTTTACCTTCCCACAGATCCACTGTCTGAAAAATGTCAGTGGTCCTCACGCCATAGATTTCTGCAGCTTTTAGGAACTGGGAGATTTGCTCCATCTGCTTAAAAGCCATCTTTGACTCTGAGATCTTGGGGATAGGCTCTTGTCCTGGTGGGTATAAACTGTTTATCAGCTTGCACAGGACCTGAAGGGAGTGGGGGAGGGGGAGTGCAGAGTCAGTGTTTTCCTTTGCAAGAAATGTCACAAATGAGAAGTGAATCCTGCCATCCCCCCCATCTCCCCTCCACCCCAGACACACAATCTGAACAAGTCATGGGCCCCAAGAAGGGATGGGCTCAGACTTTCTAGCCAGGTTGCCATATTAAACTCCAAAGAGCTAGATAACCCCATTTCCATGGCTGCACTTCACTGGAGTTCTGCCGCCCCGGAAACCCACTCCCTCCTTGTTCTTCCCTTTATTTCAGGGTGAGGGAAAGAATATTTACAGAAAAGCAATGATTGGAGCTGATGTGGATACAAGTCCACACTTCATGGAAGGATGTCAGGGAGAATTCTGATCTGTACTCTGTCAGAAAGCAGATCAGAAAGCGGCTTTCACTAAGTCATCTTGTATTAATGATGCTTCCAAGAATGGAACTGGGCATTCTCCTCCCTGAACCCGAGCCTTGGACGACCCAACAAATGTGTGGGGTAGTAGTTATATAACAATAAATCACAGCCTGTGGGAAAATACTGTACTTGTTTGAAGCAGCCAAGCTTGCGATCCTCAAACCCCCAAACTCTTAAGCATCTGGTCAGAAGAGCAATTATCAAGTAAGGAGCCCCCCATCCCCTCAGCCTTAGGCGAACCCTTCTATTCAACAGACAGACATTCAGCATCCCCAGAGAGCAAGGCTCCCCAGGAAGATGGGAAGGTGGCTAGCCCCCACCCTGCTACCTCCTTCCTTTGTTTTACAGGGAAAGCAGCATACTCCTGGAGGAAGAAATGGCCTCAGAAGAGCTGTTTCACCGGGAAGGCTAGGGGTGGGGTGGGAGGGGGTGAGAGAATCACAGGGAAATACTTCTCATCTCAACGGAGAAAGAAAATCAAAGGGCCTTAAATTTGCTAACAACTCAGAAGGAAGCTGTGGTGCCTCGGAGGGTTGGAAAGAATCCTCTATGCTAGCTAGGGAATTGTGCAGAAAGCCCAAATCATCAGCCCTGGAGAAATAAAAGACATCGCCCATCCCTCCTGGTGAGAGAGCTTGGCAACAGCAGCACCCCCAGGGGCCTCCAGCTGAAAGAAAGGGCCCTGGAGAGGACTTCCCTGCCCACTGCCCCAGCAACCAAGATCGCTCCCCGCCTTACCGTCCCGTCCATTAACCATTTCTGAAAATGGGCCCTGCCAGGGGGTGGATGCTCTATGTCCTCAGCGCACTGCAGGATGATCCAGTCCACCAGTTTGTTCTCCAGGTCCGCGTCGTACTTCTGCTCGATCTTCTCCTGCACTTCTCGGCTTAAGCCGTAGCTGGGGCCCCTGTTAGCCATCTCTGGAAGAGAGGAGAGGCATCCACACAATAGCAGCTGCGGAAGCCCCCTCCTGGCTTCTAAGCAAACTGGGCTGAGATGTGGCTGGGCAGCCCGGCCCAGCAAGCAGCAAAGCAGGCAAGAAAGCCGGGCGTGGTTTAATTCAAGAAGCCAATGAAGCCAATGGGGTTGCACCTTCAAATGGGAAAGAAAAGCGCAGCCACGCGCCAGTGACTCTAGAATAACGCTCTGGACGGCCCAGGAGGGGTAGGGGGCGGGGGCTGGTACCCTCCTTTCTCAGTCCCCGCCAATCAAGAGATGCGAGGATGTGCAAGGACTCACAATCGAGCCTGAGCCCACCCCCCAGGCAGCGAGGGGGGGATGGGTGGTGATCGATTCCTCCCCCTCTCGGTGGAACTGTGTGAGATTGCAAGGGGCAGGTAAATAACAAGCCTTGAGGAAGGCTGCCTTGATGTTCCTCGCTCCTGGAAGAAAGGCACACTTATCTGATTTTCTCATGGCTGAGGAGGATCCAACCAGCGCCGTTGCTAAGAGCCCTCCAAAAGCCAGCCCTCTCTCTTGTCAGGCAAGCCCGCCTGCCTCCCTCCCTTCGGGACCATCTTTCTCAGCGGCTCTATTCTTTCCCCTCTCTGGGGAGACTGGTGATTGTGCATCCAAGGCCCCATCCAGCTGTGGGGGTGAAGAGGGCCCGTGGGAGGATCCATTCTGCTGTGTCCATCTGTTCCTAGGAGCCAAGGCCCTTTCCCCACTTCTGTCCTTTAGTGCCAATTGTCTGGTGGGACAGGATGGGGTGGGGGTAGGCGGAGCCAAGACTGCAATCATTTATTTAGCTGTCAGCTTCATCCAGAACCTTTTTTCTTTTTTTGGTCTGTGCCTATACCTGGCATCGAACTCATGGCCTGTGTGTTGTCCCTTACCTTTTTTGCTTAAGGCTGGTGTCCACTTGAGCCAAACCTTCACTTTGGGGTTAACTGGAGATGAGAATCTCATGTACTTTCCTGCCTGGGATGGTTTAGAAGTGCAATCCTCAGATGAGTGTCTTGAGTGGTTAGGATTACAGGTGTGAGCCCTGGGCACCTGGCTGTTGGGTGCTCTTCTTGAGAAGACCCAGGTATTTGTTCCTTGGTTCATTCCTTTATTCAAGAAATACTTACTGGGTGCTTAACTGGACTATAGGTAGATTGATAGCTCTAGTTTGGATTGATAAATCAGCTACAGCACATTCGATAAAGCAACTCAAGTACAAGCAATGGTATCATCACTCTTGTGAGAATCTGATTGGAAACCATACAGGAAAAGACTCTTGGAATATATCGAGAAAAATGTTCTGCCTGCTGTAACCAGGACTAATGAAACTTTATTTAGTAGATATGTTTCCATGAGAAAATATTTGGTAGTCAACTGTTGAAAACCTGAGAGAACTCTGTGAAAGGCACAGGTTATGAGAGGACAAAGAGCCTGTGGAGAACAGAAATTTCAGAAAAAGCTACTTCTTGCACAGCTAATGCAGGTCTTGATACTGCCTGGAATCTCACTTTGACATTTTGAGGACTCAGAGACTGCAGAGATTTGGGGGTTGGAAGGAGAGTTGGGAGCAGGGGGATATTCAGCAGAATTATGCTGCTGCTACTCACTAGTGAGTCTTGAGTAGCAGCAAGGTTAATTCTGACCTGGGACTCAGAACAAAGGCTAGTGACAAAATCATGTATCTTTAGCTCCATGGGTGGAGAAAGATGCACATTTGCCTTCCTTCCCAGTATAACAGAATAGCTGGTATGCTACAAGTGAATAAGTGAACCAGTGGTCCTGCAGAGGATACAGTGGCAAAGAGGGGCCACAAAGAACAGAATTTAGGAGGAAGCCTTTGGAGAATAAACACTTCATAACTTGGAGGGTAGAATTGTTAACAATGCAGATTGGCTTAATTGCCTATTACCAGGACAACTAGTTTCAACTACTGAGAGAGGGGGCAGTACAGACTGCATTTGTTACGTGTTAGTGATGAGGCAAGCTCCCACCGTCAATTTTATTTTTCCCCAAAGGTCTATGTTTGTGAGATGGGGAACATGGTAACTTGATTTTGCAGGAAAATTAAAGTTATAAAAAATAAATGCCAACCAGATTGTCATGATAAGACTAGAGGAAAAGGTTAAGGAATTGAGGGAAACATTTCTAAGTGCTATTATTTTATTGAAAAATAAATTGTTGTTTGTCAGGTAGATGGGTGAAGCAGAAAGGCTGTGGGTTGCTGTTGGCAATAACAGCTTATTTGAACATATCAGCAACGTGTAGGCCAAAAGGAGAAAGAAATAAAGCTGGAACATCAGGTTCAGATCATAAAAAAGCGTGCTTGTAAAAATCTATGGTTAAATTTCAGGTTTGAGGATGTTATTAAATTCAGAATTAGCAAATGAATTACATGAACTTACTCTCAAATAAAGCATATTACAAACATTAACACTTTTTTTTTTTCTTTTTTGGGTCCGGTCATGGGGCCTGAACTCTGGGATGGGCACTGTCCCTGAGCTCTTCATCTCAAGGCTAGCGCGCTACCACTTGAGCCACAGTGCCACTTCCGGCTTTTTTCTTTTTTTGCTTATGTGGTGCTGAGGAATCGAACCCAGGGCCTCAGGCATGCAAGACAAGCGCTCTACTACTGAGCCACCTTCCCAGCCCAAACATTAACACTCTTAATTCAAAGGTTTAATACTAAAAGGTTACTCAAGGTTAAATATAAAGAATAAATTGCTTTCCATTTTGCTCTTTTCCATTTACTTATATTTTGAGGCTATTTGTACTAACGGTCTCTATATGGTGTAAATACTATGTACTTGTGTAGTGCTGCTCATTTCTTCCTAGCTTGGTATTCAGAGGTTTTGGTGGTAGTTTAAAACCAGCCATGTTGCGAGATATTCATGCCACTGACACCAGTAAGGACTAATATGGATGGTTAAACATCTTCCAGCCTTAGACAGACATATATCATGCAGAAGAGTTTGAGATTTTCCATTGAAGAAAACATCAGCTTTTATTTGAATAAAGGAGATGGTCAGACTGACTCACAGTTTGATTGGTAATAGAAGTAGTGGTGGTGCCATTTATTGCAAAAGGACTCATAGATAGGGTGGTATATAAAAAGGAAAGATAATAAGACTTGGATTTAACACACTTGGAAGGCCTTTGGTCTACTTGAGTTCACTCGACAGTTTTATGAGCCTGGCACTCAGAAGAGACATCTAGATGGCAGAGTAGACGAATCACTCACATGTAGGTAGTAGTTAAAACCATAAATTGTGTAAATATTGTACAAGGTAAACACATAACATTAGAAGACTGCTAGGGCCCAAACTCAAGGGAATATTATTATTACAAGTTGGCCAAGAAGAAGCCCTCAAAGAAATTCATAGCATGTCAGGATGTCTGTAGATACTGTGGTCAAAACAAAGCTCCTAACCTCAAACAGGCTTTGAGACAAGGATGACAAATAAGCTGAGAATTACAGTGCAGTAAATGCTATCAAAAAGCTATGGATACAGTGCTGTGAAAGCACAATGTTTGTGTACAAACTTCCTGGAAAAAGGAAGATGGGTTCAGTCAGGAAGGGTTGCAGAAAAACTAATGGTTTAGAGAACTAGATCTTCTTCAGTGCAGACTAAAACCAAACTCTTTTTGTACCACTCCTGTGGCTTGAAGTCAACAGGGCCTGGGCACTGTCCTTGAGCACTTTTGCTTAAGGCAGCACTCTACCAACTTGAGCCACTGTGACACTTGAGGCTTTTTGCTAGTTAATTGGAGATAAAAGAGTCCCACACTTTTCTGCCAGGTCGGGCTTTGAATTACAATCCTCAGATCTAAGCCTCCTGGGTAGGTAGGCTTATAGGCATGAGCTACCAGTGCCTTGACCTGCTGTTTTTAATAGAAGAAATTTGGAACTATCAGCAAAAATATGAAAACCCATGGAAAAGAAAAGAAAGGTATCTTCCCTAAAATATACATTTGGTTAAAAACATTTTTCTAGATATTCTAGAATTATACCAAAAACATTTCATTTTTTTTCATAATCAACTTATGCGCACTACAAGATTGTTCCTAGTTACTTTTAGAGATCCTAAAAAGTTACAGTTACACATTCTTCAGCTGAGGGTCCAACTGCAGATCAAGATTAGGAAAAAGAACATGTATAGGCTTTTCTCCTAGTTACTGTAACCTAAACATATTATACATATATGTGTAATATATATATATTACCTATAATGTGTTTAATATATATAACATAGGACTTGAAACGTTATTAGAGGGTGTGCATTGGTTATATGCAAATACGACGCCATTTTATATAAGGAACTTGAGCATCACTGGTATTGTCGGGTCTCTGTAACCAATCCCTCTGAAGTTATCGAGAAGTACTTGTAGCTAAATTTCACAGACCTTTTTTTTCCTCCACAAAATTAGAGTTTCATTTTTTAATTATTCCAAGTTTAATGAACAATTTGACATAATTGAGAGTTCGAGAATTAAGTCTTACCAGTTTAATCTTGTTTGGAATTTGTACTGCAATCTCTATAAAGCCAAAGTCTAAAACAGGTATTAAGATCTGCTTTTAAAAAAGAAAACATCACTCTGAACATGCCATAAAACACATTCTAATTTGGGATCTTCATGCTATGAAAAATCAAATCTAGTTTAGCTTTAGCTCTTATTTTCTTGCTTACTCTTCCCATTCCTGTAACATCAAAGACTGTTTCATCATCTTAGTGGATTGTGCTCTACACAAAATAAACACACACCTAAATGTGTGATGTTGTTTAATCCTTATTTCTATAATCGAGGTTTATATTATACCTCCTGATAGACGAGTAAAACGAGGTTCAACGAGGTTAAGTAAATTGCTTAGTCACAGAGCTAGGAAATGGTGCAGCAGGATTCAACCCCAAACTCCACTGCTTGCCCTTACCTGCTAGGTTGTACTGTCTCTCCATATATACCATGACGCTCTAATCTTACATTTTATAGTTATGCTGAGCCCCAGAAAACTCATGGACAGGGACCCTTGGCTCTTCATTTTCCTATGCTTACACTAATGTCTGGCCAAAGCATGTTCTTAAATGTACCCATGGATTACTTTATCTTATTTTCTCGAGTGTAAAGGATAACTCCAAAATTGTAGCTTAATTCTATCTGTAAACAATTAATCTGCATCCTCTAGACATTCCGTAGAACCGCCCCACCCCCACTCCCAGGTTCAAAGATTAGCTAGGATTTGGGATTTGGCACTCAGCATACAGTTCTACTCAATGCTGATTTACTACAGTTTAAGTCCACAAAGTGAAGTCATCAAAAGAAAAGGTAACATGGGGTAAAGTCCAGGGAAACTCAGTGAAAGCCTCCAAGAATCCTTTCCCAATGGAGTCACACAGGCTGAACTCAGCTCCCTCAATAATGGGCTGTAACCACACATCTGAAATGTTGTCTACCAGGGAAGCTTGCTAGTCAAGCCAAGGCTTCTCAGTTGGAGCTGGCCAAATCTTTGGTGCCTACCAACACTTTGAGCTCCCAGAAGAAAAGCATGTATTTAATACAAACCACATTTTGTATAATTAGGCACCACTCTGGGAATGGTGGAAGCTCCATGAAATCCAAGTTCTCAGGAAGCCAAGAGCCAACAAAATAAATTCCTAAGGATTATCAGTCATCCTTCTATAACATTTTCCTGCATAAAAATTTTAACACCTTTTCTTCAATGCTTGTAAACACTTCAATTCGAAAATCATCCTTTGAACCAGGTTTACTATTTGCTGGCTCTTTCATTAATGAGTTAAATAAATCTTTGATACATGCACATTTTATATGAGTCATGCCGTCAATTTAATTAAAATTTTAGTTTGACATTGCCCAAGTAAGATAAAGTCCAGCTAAAACGAATAGCTAGAAAAATACCAATTCATTAATATCAAGGCTGTCTACTTAAAAAAACTCATTGTAGTTATGAAAAAAAAAGGAAGAAGAAAAAAGTACCTTTGGTAGCATATATCCACAATCTTAGATACTTGGGTAGCAGAGACAGAACAGCAGTTCAAGGCCAGCTTAGGCAAAAACACTAAGACTCTATCTCAAAAAACAAACTGAATGTGGGTGCATGCCTGTAATCTCAGCTACCCAGGAGGCAGAGATACGAAGATTGAAGTGGAAGTCCAGCCCCAGATAAGACTTCTCTGAAAATCAAACTAAAGCAAAAAATATTTAGGGTATGGCTTAAGCGGTATAGCACTTAACTAGCAAGTGTTGCTTTCAAAGCCAAGTACTGCCAAAACACACACACACACACACATCTCCCTTACACACTTAATACTAATCTTTATATTTCCTTACTGACTTTTAATAATTCAGAAACCCTGTAATTGAAATGGCTATTTCACTTGGATATTTGTACTTAAGTACATACTTGTAAAAAATATTTTTATAAGCAGGTAATAATAAAGAAATTATCAATTTCTCGTTAGTCTTACCGATGATATAAAACGTCACATCATTAAGTGAATTTGCAGCTGGGAGTAGGCCTGTACTCTCCTTATTTGGGAGGGCAAGGCAGGACGAGCGCAGGTTTGAAGTCAGCCTCATCTATATAACAAGTTCAAGATGAGTCGGATCAACACTGTGATACCCTATTCCAAGGAAAACGATGAATGCAGCAATTAAACATATGATATACGGGCCAAAATTCATAAATATCTCCTCCATGTCACTGTAAGAACATGTAAACCTTTAATGAAGTCAAACCTTAATTCTGTTTTAATATAACATATCCTTATTTCCTTTATTATTCTTCATATTTTTTCTATTCATTTCAAATTTCAAAAATTTCTTTCTCAATTTTGTGAGCTGCTTTTACAAGTCAGAAGTGGCTGCAAATTTCCATATACAATAGTGCTGAACAAAAAGAAAATATTAAAGCTTTATTGTAATTCTAAAGAGGAGAGAACACAAAGGATGACAAAAGTTAACATATGAATAAGATAAACATGTCCTGTGTTTTAAAAAAAGGAAATGTTTTAATGGAAAAAAAAAATATCAAAAATTGCAGGAGAAAATTTTCCCAACAGCAGCCACAGTAGCAGGTACTGTCATTTCATTTGTATTTCCTGTGCAGAGACATCATTAAATAAATACTTATATTTACAAAATAGAAGTGAGAGGAAAAAGCCTTGTGAGGGTCCTTGTTAGCCCTCTCTTCTGGACACATTAAACACCAACCGAAAATGGGCTTCTATTGTGGCATGGATGAGAGCTTCTCAATTAAATCGTCAATCGTGTACACAAGAAGTTGAATGTCTGCCTTTTCCTTCATTTCATGATCACTGTGTTTCCTGAGGATGACATCGACATCTGTGCTAAGTAGTCGGTCAGCAACCTGCATGGACGTATGCCAAGGGATTACGTCATCCATCATGCCATGGAGCAATCTTACAGGACAGTGCACGGGAATAGGGCTGTGTAACAAGCAGTGGTGCTCTGCTTCCTTAATGAAACTGTACTGAATGTGATGATATCCTTCTTCAGTGTATTTTGATGGCATGGACCAAACACCTTTCATCTCAACTTCCTTTTGTACCTGCAGGGAAAATATGTGTGAAAACTGAAAAGCATGTACACATGGTGAACACACGATAATTCTTTTGTTTTTTTTGCTTTTTTTTTTTTTTTTTGGGTCTAGTCGTGGGGCCTGAACTCTGGGCCTGGGCGCTGTCCCTCAGCTCTTCAGCTCAAGGCTAGCGCTCTACCACATGAGGCACAGCGCCACTTCTGGCTTTTTTCTTTTTGCTTATGTGGTGCTGAGGAATCGAACCCAGGGCCTCAGGCACGCAAGGCAAGTGCTCTACCACTGAGCCACCTTCCCAGCCCCAATTCTTTTGTTTTTATCTGCACTGGTAGTGGGGCTTGAACTCTGGGCCTGTACTCTCAGTCTTTTTTTTTTTTAATACGTTTCTTATTGTAAAAATACTATACAGAGGGGTTACAGTTACATGAGCAAGGTAATGAGTACATTTCCTATCAAGAATTGTTACCTCCTCCTTACTCTCATAGTTTTGTTTTTTTGTTTTTTGTTTTTGGGTCCGGTCGCGGGGCCTGAACTCTGAGACTGGGCGCTGTCCCTCAGCTCTTCAGCTCAAGGCTAGCACTCTACCACATGAGCCACAGCACCACTTCCGGCTTTTTTCTTTTTGCTTATGTGGTGCTGAGGACTCAAACCCAGGGCCTCGTGCATGCAAGGCAAGCGCTCTACCACTGAGCCACCTTCCCAGCCCCTCTCATAGTCTTAAATAGTCAAAAAGCAGCCCTTGAATAAGAGGGAAGAATAACAAAAATACAATAATAATAATTATAAACAATTATATGAGCAAAGTACTTAAAAATTATATAAGCAAAGTACTTAACACATACATCTCACTACAGGCTGGGAATAATGCTATTATTCCATTTTTATAAACAAATATATTGAGGTTTAGAGAAGTTATGTATCATGTATGGCTAGGAATCTAACAGGTTTGTCTAACTTTATCAAAGAGCCCCTTAAATCAGATGTCACTTACCTAAAAGGGAAATGGAAAGAAAAGTACATTCATTAAAATCAAATCTTAGAATAAAAGTCGTTAAGATTTCAAAGTAATAAAAAAATTGAATTATCTAAAATGGGTATAGGGTGAAACGAAACTCAAACATAGACATGAAAATGAAAAAAATATGAGAAGGGTTATTCATGCTCACATTCTTATGTACTAAACATGTACAATTTTTACCATTTAGGCTCCTAGAAGTGGTAAGAAAAAGGTTTTTTTTTTTGTTTGTTTTGGGTAATAGATATTTCAAATACATCCTGAAAACAGAACAGTAAATATAATTTCTAACTTACTCCCTTAAAAAGAAACATTACAGGGGCTGGGAAGGTGGCTCAGTGGTAGAGTGCTTGCCTTACATGCCTGAGGCCCTGGGTTCGATTCCTCAGCACCACATAAGCAAAAAGAAAAAAGCGGGAAGTGACGCTGTGGCTCAAGTGGTAGAGCGCTAGCCTTGAGCTGAAGAGCTGAGGGACAGCACCCAGGCCCAGAGTTCAGGCCCCACAACCGGACCACCCCCCAAAAAAAAGAAACATTACAGAACTAAGATCCTTTAAGAATTCCTATTATTCAGAATAAAATGTATTTGTTCTCATTTTTTTCTATTAAAAATATTTCCTTAGTAACACAGAGAAAACATGGAAAACACAAGTATACTAAATTACCTATATTCCTACCTCATGTGAATAACTATCAACTCTCTATAGAGAGACAGAGAGATTTTCTTTTTCCTTTTACTTTTTTGCCAGTCCTGGGGCTTGAATCTTGAGCCTGGGTGCTGCTATTCCTGAAATCTTTTCGCTCAAAGCTAGCACTCTACTGCTTGAACCAGGTGCCACTTCCATATTGTTCTGTGATTAATTGGAGGTAAGAGTTTCACAGACTTTCCTGCCCAGTCTGGCTTCGAACCGTGATCCTGAGATTGCAGCCTCCTGAGTAGTTAGAATTACAGGCATGAGCCACCAGTGCTCAGCTCATTCATATTCTGACTTCTTTCCTTCTTGTTTTTTAATTATTTGGCTTTTATGTGCACGATATATAAAATATATCACCTACTACACATTCATTTCGTTTTTCATGCTGCTCTACTTTTTAAAAATTTTTTTTCATGGGGCCTGAACTCTGGGCCTGGGCGCTGTCACTCAGTTTTTCAGCTCAAGGCTAGTGCTCTACCACTTGAGCCATAGCTCCACTTCTGGCTTTTTCTGCTTATGTGGTGCTAAGGAATTGAATCCAGGGCCTCTGCATGTGAGGCAAGCACTCTACCACTGAGCCACCTTCCCAGCCCTTAATTTTTTATCCAAGTAGACAACGTATTTAAATCTATGTCTAATCACACTGTTTAACAGACTAGTTATCTTTAATGTGTTTCAGAAAGTTTACTTCTATCATGATTACTAATCATAAGGACCTTTTAGAAAGACAAGAATTAGGAGTACCAAAAATTTTAAAAAGCCAACTACATAAGCTAGAAATGACAAGTTTTATAACCTACATGTTAATTCTGATTGGTGATGTCTGCATGGAGGATCTCAAATTACTTTTGGGCTAAAAATATTGGTTTCACAAATGATTAGTCAATTCTAGCATGGTCATAAGAACAGATACTATTGCCCAGATGCCACAAAGTTAGGACAAGAGATACAAAAGAGACCAAGATGCATGATCCAAACAAGTAAATGTAATTAATAAAGAAAATCTTGCTAATAAAATAACTGTGGGGCTATGAATATAGTCCTGAAGAAGCATGCACAAGGCCTTGAGTTTGATCTCCAGCACTGTAAAACACAACAAACAAAACCCTAAATAACTTGCAAAGTATGGTTTCATTCATGTGGCTCAAATATTTCAGAGTGATTTGAAGGAACTATGAAACAAAGGAAACACTAAAACCTGAGGCCAAATAGTTAAAACTGAGCAATGAACCTGTGTACAAAAAAAAAAAACACAGTTAAGAGAGAAGATAAGCTATTATAACATGTCAAAGTAAAGCAGAATGATAGGTGACACACACTAGGATTGCCAAAGTAACTTGTGACTTACCTCAACAGGAAGCTGACGGAACTGGGTCACTAGAGCATCTGTAGCTGTAGCTACCCCAATAAGAGCCACAACCTTTTCTGGCCGTGCAACTGCAGCATGAAGCATAAGCCATCCACCAAGACTAGAACCAATTAGAATCTACAAACAAAAACATGCTGTTTTCAAAGGATTATTCTCTTAGTCTGTAAAGTGAATGGGGAACAAACAAAAATGTATGTACATTTTTTCCCTATTTTATATATCCATGTAGCTCGGACTTGAATATTCCACACAACATAAAACTCAAGTATAATTAATGTTTTGTAAACTGTCAAGTCTATAATACACTTAAATTATTAAAATAAAATACGTACAACAGAATGTAAACTGCTGCTTACTTTTTGTTAGAAACAGAAAATAATAGAATTTTAACCAAAACTGTTTAATCAAATTGTTAATATTTAAATATTAAATCGATTTTCATATTCAAAGCAATTAAATTACTGGCTGCGTCAGTGATTATCAAAAAGTCACCTGTGGTCCTTTGGCTATATCATCAAGTATAGAAAGCACATCTTTTCTCCATTTCCCCACAGTGCAGTCTTTTAAGTTACCATCTGAATTTCCAACTCCTGAATAGTCAAACCTGAAAAAGGGGAAAAAACGTATTTCTATCTAAATCTTTATACAGATGTTTATGTGTTCATTTTTAAAAACAATTTTCAGGGTAATACATTCATTCTTATAATCGTACATTCGTTCGTAAATATAGTAAAACATTAGTCAATGTATTTCAGCATTCTCTATTGATTTACCTTTCACAAGGAGTTTTATTCAAGTTTTTCCAGGGTACAGAACACTGCCTGACCTATTCTATCACCACAGATTTCTCCTCATATCTCTCTCAGTACTTTGGTAAGTCCAGTATCCTTTTGTTTTAGAGATGGAGTTGTGTGATGTAGCTCAGGCTGGCTCAAACTCTCAATCTTTCCCTAAGTTCTAGGATTATAGGCCAATATTTTGATGTAGGTCTTTTGTGGGGGGGGGGGGCGGTTCTGGGGATCCAGGGCCTACAAGCTGTCCCCTAGCTTCTTTTGCTCAAAGCTCATGCTCTACCTCTTGAGCCACAGCTTCACTTACGGCTTTTTGGTGGTTAATTGGATAAGTGTCTCACACACTTTTTTGCTTGGGCTTGCTTTACACCAAGATACACAGATCTCCACCTCCTGTGTGTAGGATAACAGGTGTGAACCACCGGTGCCAGGCTCTTAGGTATTTGTCTTAAACTCAGACTACATCATAGTTCTCTAATTGCATCCCCTTGACTCTGACTCCTAATGGTTGATAACTGTTCAGTTCTTTTTGAGCATTTTACCAATATGGCATTACTTTTAACTGCTTCTTGTGCCATAGAACATAAAATGTAATGCTTTAGCCTATTGCTTGAGAACATTATCTTCTGTGCATCTCACAACGATTTTTGATCAGAGGAAACAACTGCTTCAGCCAAACTGATTAATTTGCATATCTTAAAGTAAGTTCTTTTCTTATCTGTTTCATGCTACACTACCTTGTTTCCTTTACCTGGAATACCTTCTGCTATCAATCTCTTTTTTTTTTTTTTGTCGGTCGTGAGGCTTGAACTCTGGGCCTGGGTGCTGTCCCTCAGCTCTTCAGCTCAAGGCGAGCGCTCTACCACTTGAGCTACAGCGCCACTTCCGGTTTTCTGGTGGTTTATTGGAGATAGGAGTCTCACGGTCTCTCTGCCCGGGCTGGCTTTGAACCGCGATCCTCAGATCTCAGCCTCCTGAGTAGCTAGGATTACAGGCGTGAGCCACCAGTGCCTGGCCCTGCTATCAATCTCTTTACTATCAATCTCTTTACTAAGATCCTATCTTGAAGCCTTGTGCAAATGTAACTTTTTGAAAGACTTCCCAGAAGAGTTGAAAAAAAAAAAACTTTCCCTATGAAACTTCCACAGCATTCATTTGTTATCTCTCATGAGCAATTAATGATATTTTGCTAAGACAGAATAAAAGAGGGAAGGGAAAGGAAAAAGAGGGAAGGGGAGGGAGGGGGAGAAGGAGAGAGACAGGCAAAAGGGATAGAGAAGGGAAAGGGGATAGAGACGAGAGAAGACTGAGTATGTTTATTCTATAAGATCCTAGAAAGGAAGTAACATTATCAGGAAATAACATCATCTTATTTTTTTCTCTACATTCTTCATAGTAGCTAGGCTTGGAGGGCCCACACATCAAGGATTACAATATCCAATAAATGAACAAAATTAGTAGGTAAAAATTAAAAGAATTATTTTGTTTAAATATTGCTTTCTTACGTTTTTATTAATCCTTAAGTTTTTAGAGTATATGAGTATAGAATATGAACATAAATTAGTAATTCTAATATGAACATAGTATATAAATGCTTCTTCAGACAGAGGAATTTTTTTTTTTTTTTGTCAGTCCTGGGGTTTGAACTCGGCCTGGGCACTGTCCCGCAGCTCTTCAGCTCAAGGCTAGAGCTCTACCACTTGAACCACAGCGCCACTTCCGGTTTTCTGGTGGTTTATTGGAGATAAAGAGTTTCACCTCTTTTCTTGCCCAGGTTGGCTTTGAACTGCAACCCTCAGATCTCATTACATGTATGAGCCACCGATGCCCAACTCAGAGGGATTTTTTTATGTTGGAAGGAAGAAATTATTTTCTTTAGGTTAAAGTGAAGGGATGTTAGATCCTTGGGAAAGAGAACAAAGCTCCTATTGAGTCTAAAAATCAAATTACTGTTTCCCCCTCAATAAATAGAACTTTGAAAATAGACAAAAGAGAAGAGAGGAGAAAGAGAAGAGAGGAGAAAGAGATCAGCTGATTTCCTTTCCTCCTTTTTATGGGCAACTACCTATGATATTTAGTATAACTACCTTCCAAACAAAAAATACTTACAGAGCTTCTCCAAGAAGAAAAATACATGCATACATCATCAAAAATATTTTGGGTCCTGTTCTATTACACTGTAATAAAACACGTATCACATTCATCAGAAGAATGTTTTGTTTCCAGCAAATAGTAAAGTTATAATTATGCTACCCTGTAGTCTACTAAGTGTGCAATAGCATTACGTCTACAAAAAGTACATACCTTCATTAAAAAAAATATGTATGTTATTGCCGGGTGCCGGCAGCTCATGTCTGTAATCCTAGCTACTCAGGAGGCTGAAATCTGAGGATTGCACTTCAAAGCCAGTCTGGGCAGGAAAGTCCAAGAGACTCTTATCTCCAATTAACTACCAGAAAACCAGAAGTGGCCCTGTGGCTCAAGTGGTAGAGCCTTGAGCTGAAAAGCTGAGGGACAGCACCCAAGCCCAGAGTTCAAGTCCTACGACAGACAAAAAAAGCAAACAAAAAATATTATTGCCAAAAATGCTAATCATGATCTGAGGTGCTGGAAATATAGTGCTGACTGCCCGATGTTAGATTGCCAATTCTCAATTTGTTAAGAATTCAGTGTCTGTGTGAGGTGCAATAAAATGAGGTATGCCTGTATAAACTTAGTGATGCTGATGATTTATAAGTTAAAAATTGAACAGTTCACTTTTGCTAAAACTTATTCTAAAGACAAAAGATAAAAATTTCAAACACATACAGAGCCTAGTACCAGTGGTTCATGCCTACAGTCCTACCTACTCAGGAAGATGAGATATGAAGGTTAAAGCCAGCTCAGGCAGACAAATCAGAGATAATTATCTCCAAGTAACCAGCAAAAAGCCAGAATTGGAGGTCTGACTTAAGTAGGCTGAAGTGGTACAGTGCCAGCTGTGAGGGAAAAAGCAAAACCAGAGCTCAAAATTCTAAGTTTAAGCTCCAGTACAAACACAAAACATGCATACACATACATACACACACACTTTTAAGACTTAAATAGTAACACAATTCTATTCTTACAGTCTCTATCCAGGAACATAGTTCCAATTAAGAAATAATTATGAAAGGATATTGGCCTTAGAAATGTGGCTATCTTCAGGAGCTCCAACAAAAATTATATTTAGGCAAAGTAACAGGATGTTAACAAACTATTTTCATTTGATTATATGTATCATTTTTTTGTATAATACACTAGTGATTTCATTGTTAAACTCTACATTTCATAACATTAATCAGTACAAAAGTAAACAGAATGAGGCACCAGGGTCTCATGCCTGTAATATGAGCTTTTCAGAAGACTGAGATCCAGAGGATTGGGGCTTGAAACCAATGAGGGCAGAAAGTCTGCAAGACTCCACCCCCAATTAACCTGCAAAATGCCAGAATGGAGGTGTGGCTCAAGTGTAGAATACCAGCAATGGGCAAGAAAGTTGAATAAGTACATGAGGCCCTGAGTTTAGCTCTGATGTGATGTGTTTGCAGGCACACACATGCATGTACACATATGCGCGCAAACGCGCGCACACACACACACAAATAGATGAATAGGCTGTTAGTGCTACAAAGAACTCAGAAGTTAAAATTACCTTTAATTTCCTTTTATTGGATGACAAAATGATATCCAGTGTTTACTGTCTTGTCAGTTACTGAATTTATTCTAGAGTCCATAATTCTTTTTCTAATATGTATTTTTTATTGTAAAGATTCTGTAGAGAGGGGTTACAGTTACATGAGTGAAGTAATGAGTCCACAATTCCTTAATTCCAAAGCCAATTCTGTTTCTATGCTATATAGTGAGTGTGTGTACTTGTGTGTTTATATGTGCCCTACTACTATACTACTACTATGCCCTACTCCCTTCTGGCAAATTAAAACACTAAATAAATGGCTTACAGATAAACCTGCTGAAAAAGTGAACAAGTGGATTTACTAAGAAAAAATAACCATCAGTATGAAAAATTAGGAACTGTCAAATTAACTTTCAAACACAAACTTTCAAACACAAACTACCTTTATAGTTTTTAAAAGTACTATATTATCTTTTTTTTTTTTGGTTGTGGTGCCTAAACTCTGGGCCTGGTGCTGTCCCTGAGCTCTTCAGCTCAAGGCTAGTGCTCTACCACTTGAACCACAGCACTACTTCTGGCTTACTATATTATCTTTAAATACATTTTTTTTTTTTGGCATGGTACTGGGGACTGAACCCAGGACCTCTGTGCATGCTAAACATACTCTACCATTGAGCTACACACTCAACCCTAAATACACATTTTAAAAGGTAATAAATAGTGGTCAAGTAAAGCCTTACTGCTTTATTGGGACCCACAATGTAATTGCAAGAGACTATAACAAATCCAGATAGCATAGGTTTTTATCACATATTTTATGTAAAGATCTTAGCTACCATTTGCTCCCTAACAATATGACATCACAATATTATTTGGAATAATACTTGTTCCCAGTATTGTCAATGTGGCAAAAGGACTTTAAGATATTGTAAAGTTTGCTTTTACAAAGATTTTATCATAAGAATATTTACAAATGATTAAAATAAATTAATCTACAAAAATGCTGGCATTTACTTCACTTGGTAAGAGCAGAAGTAATTCTTCACTGCAAGTCTAACTAGTATTTTTCCTACCTTATATAGGCGTGACCTACAGATTTGCAAAATTCCTCAATGGCCAATGCTTTTGTACCATTCATAGTAGAAAGATAACCAGGGATGAAGATAATTCCCGGTGTTTTGCCTTTTAAACTCTTATATGCCAGGTTTGGAAGGTCGGGTCGATTAAGGAAAGAGAGTGATGCCATTTTCCTGCAAGCTAAACAAAGTATACAGAACACAAATTACACTTTGCAAACAGTTTTTGGAAAAACAAACATTTTTAGTCTTAGCTTTCTTAACTCTCTGATGTGACAAAGTATTTCCAAACAGGCACTGGTGGCTCATGATTTTAATCCTAGCTACTCAGGAGGCTGAGATCTAAGAACTGCAGTTTGAACCCAGCTCAGGCAGAAGGAGAGGCAGACACTTAACTTCAATTTTAACCAGCAAAAAATCTGCAAATGGAGGTGTAGTTCAAGTGGTAGAGTGCCAGCCATTGGGATGGGGATGGGGGGGTTAAAAAGCTGAGCAAGAGCTCAAGGTCTGTGGAGTTAAATCCCCAGTACCAGCACCTAGATTTTTTTAAAAATTCATTTGACAGGAAAACTAAAACAGACTCCGTTGACATTCAGATTTAACACAACAGTGTTAACCCTGTTGTCTTGTTTTGTGGGATTGCCTTTTTTGCTTTTTAATGTTTCAGGAATTGCATATCCTCTCCTTTTGGGGACCTGGGGAAGGGGGTTTGTTCTTCCTTGGGGAAATTATTTCAAAGAAGTGCTGACCCCTTTTACTACTGATTCCCACTCACCTATGAAATTACAAGCCATGGTAACAGACCCAAACTTTTATATCAACGGGGAAGGATCAACGAGCAACCGCTTTACAAATAACTTCTCATAGCTTATAGCAGCATGGAGACAAGGTCTCCTAATACCATTCCAAGCACCACCATTTGACAGCTGTGTGCGCAAAACACCGAAAAGTATGATCCCAAGATTAACTACACACTCAGAGAGAAATCATTTACGTAGAGAAGATTCTGATTTGGGTCCCCATTTGAATTTCCTTTGTAAGGGTAATGACTATAGGTTTTGTTTTTTTTTTTGGTAGAAAGCATGCGTTCTGTAATTCCAGTTACTAGGGGCAGGGCGGGGGGTGGCGGTTGATGAAGAGCCTCAAGGGGTGGTGGTGGTGGTGGAATCCACGGCAGAGGGCAAGCCTGGAAAACGAAACCACAGAGGGCCTGGTGGTCGCTCCAGGGTGGAGCGCTGGCAGTCCCGAGACCGGGGCGGGGAGAGAGGTGACAGGGCCCCAAAGCAGGGCTCGCGTCGTAGGCTTCCGCCCCTCGGACGGGCCCAGGCCCGCGACGGGAGCCATTGGGACGACTCCGCGCAGGAACCAGCGGGCGGAGCGCCACGGCCTCCACGGACGCCCAGCCCGGCCTTCCGGAACTCCGGAGGCGCCCTGCGCCAGGAGCCGCGACGCCGCGGGCAGCGGGGAAGGCAAAGCAGCTTCCGAGCGCAGCGCCCAGGGCGGACGGGACGCGGGGCGCCGCCGCGGGCGCCCGCGCTCCAGCCACGCCACACTGACCTGGCAGCCGAGGCGGCGCCCGCTGGGGCTTCCGAGCCAGGAGCGTGCCCACATTACCGTGGGGGACGAGAGACGCGAAGACCCGGCCCCAGCTCCGACACGGCACCCAGCCCACGGCGGCCGCCGACAGGCCCACGCCCGCCATCTTCCCGGCAGCCCTCGCGTCCCTCACCGGGCGACGAAGGCGCCGGTCGCAGAGCTTCAAGAATGCGCATGCGTCGCCCGCTGGGGGGTGGGGGGGGGAAGGGCGGGACTTGCCCAACTGCGTCAGCGGTCCAGGCGCGTGGAAGTGCGCGTGCGCTGCAGCGCGCGCTTGCTGGTTCTGGGGTGGTTGAAGCTGTACTTTTCAATGGTTATTAAGTCGTTATACAAAGGAGTAACAGTTCCGTCAGGCACGTTATGCGCACAAGGCTTCTCGGTCAATGTCGCCTTTCCTTTCTCCTCAGGGAGGCACCGCCTCCCAGGGCCTACGTGGAACACCAGCTCATCATCTGGAAGGCTCTCCCGCAGAAGCGGGGATCCAGGCTGCTCAGTCCCAGCTCCAGTGACTCCCACTTTTAACCTGTACTGGAAATGCTTCCAAGATCTGACCTTTGTAAGGGCTGACCTTCCTATCTGGAGTGGAATCAAGTTCTCCACTCCCCAGTTTGTGTTCTACGTGCTTCTGTGAACTACTTTTTTTTTTTTTGTCGGTTGTGGAGCCTGAACTCTTGGTCCTGGGCGCTTTACCACTTGAGCCACAGCACCACTTCTAGCTTTATCTGTTTATGTGGTACTGAGAAATCGAACCCAGGGCTTCATGCATGCAAGGCAAGCACTCTACCACTGAACAACCTTCCCAGCCCCAATGCCCTAATTGAATTCTGAGACTATTCTGACTTTTGCTTCTTGCAATATGCAGTAGATAAATTATACATTATATGAACTTAAGGAGATTATTACACAATCTGGGAATCAAAGAGACCTTTGCTTTACAAAAGTGTCAAAGAAAAAAATTACACTTGACTATAAGAATTTAAACATTTCAATGCAAAAGTTAATGTAAAACAATTAAGAACCTGGGAAAGCACACAAGACAGCATGCATGCATTAATTCTATTCAGCTGGCTCTTAGAAATAAGAAAAAATAATAATCCCAATAAAATTGGCACGAATTTTCACTAATTGAAAAGTAAAACATGGACTGGCAAAAATTAAAAAAGGAAACTTCGCCAGGACAATGGAAACTGTCATCCACATATGGCTGCCATTGACATATTGACTTGCAAGTAATCTGGCCACACTGATCTAAGTTACAGTATGCATTATTTTCCAATGCTGTTTGAGCTCATGTCTCCCTGTGTGGTTACAGAAAAACACAGCTTCCTAAGGATATGTATTATCCTCTACTTGCAGCACTATTTTTAGAGGAAAACAGAAGAAAAAAATGGAATGACAATACAAAAATAATAGAACACATTGTAATACAAAGGTTTCTTGGGCTTTGCTTCTGATATACTCTGAAGTAATTCTTGGGCGCCTCAAGATTCAAGCAGTAAACCTTATGTAGTATTTTATTCCTAGAAAGTTAGTGCAGTTAGTGGAATGTAATACTTTGTGCAAACCTCTTCATCACTGGGCATTGATGGTTGCCAAGGTTATAGGGGCAAGTTGGACATGGTATCATTTTAGGAAGCATGCATTTGGAGTTGTGCAAATCTGTTCTTTTGGGAATGTTGGAAGAGCAGGAGACATTTCCCCCTCATGGGAAAAGATTGAGTAGACCTCTTTCTTGAGGTGTATAGTGCCTCTTAAAGAAGCTGATGAATGGATTACCTCACTCCTAGAACTAGCAAGTCTCCCCTCACTTCTCTATCCTTGCTCTCCAAGAAATTAACTAATAGTCACCCTTCCCTGAAAAAAAAAAGAGCACATTAATAAAAAACAAAACTAGGGGCTGGGAAGGTGGCTCAGTGGTAGAGCGCTTGCCTTGCATGCTCGAGGCCCTGGGTTTGATTCCTCAGCACCACATAAGCAAAAAGAAAAAAGCCGGAAGTGGGGCTGGGGCACAAGTGGTAGAGCGCTAGCCTTGAGCTGAAGAGCTGAGGGACAGCACCCAGGCCCAGAGTTCAAGCCCCACTACCGGACCCAGAAAATAAAATAAAATAAAAAACAAAACTACCCAGTCACAGGACCTTTCTTTAGGTGTACAGGAATGTTTGGTAATCTAGAGACTACATTGAAATCATGTAAAAAAAAAACTGATTAAGAACTTATGACTTCTTGGGCAGCTGTGGCTTGTACCTGTAACCCTAGTTACTCAAGAGCCTGAGATCTGAGTTTGAAACCAGCTGGGACAGTAAAGTCTATGAGACTCTTATCTCCAGTTAACCACCAGAAAATCAGAAGTAGAGCTGTGGCTGAAAGTGGTAGAGCATTAGCCTTGAGCAGAAAAGCTCAGGGACAGCGCCCAGGCACTGAGTTCAAGTTCCACCACCACCAACAAAGGAACAAATGGCCTTTCAACAAACCCATGAATTGTTTCCTCTTTAATTTTTTTTTTTTTTTGGGGGGGGGCTGATACTGGGGCTTGGAGTCAGGGCTTTTCACTCTCACTTGTTTTTTTTCACTCATTTGGCTTGTTACCTCTTTTTTTTTTTTTTTAAATAAATGGGCCAGAAATTTTAACTAACCGTTCATGAGTAAAAATCATTCCACTCTATGATGAGATAAATTAAAACACTATAACCTAGAAGTCAACAGACGAACATTAGGATTGCTTACAAGAAATGTATTCGAACACCAGATAAAGACTATGAACAAAAAATAGGAAATACTTAGTTTTGGCTTGTTACCTCTTAAGCCACACCTCTACTTCTGGCTTTTTTTTTTTTTTTTTTTTAATGGTTAATTGGAGATAAGAGTCTCATGGACTTTCTTGCTCAGGCAGGCTTTCAGCCCTGATCCTCAGGCCTCAGCCTTCTGAGCTAGGATTTCAGGTGTATGCCTGGATTTTCTCTCAAGTCTTAATAGTTTAAAGTGATTTTACTGAAAGTGATGGGCAGGCAGTAGATCAATTTGTTTCTCCTCTGGTCACCTAGTGTCCATATTTCTTGCAAGAAGATATAAAAGGTTAAGACACATACAGCTGCAGGCAGTTTCTCTTTCTGAAATCTACAGACAGGGAATTTAGGGAGACAAGTGGGGTTCCCATATGTAAAGACCTTGATTTCACATTTGCATTATTTCCTCCTTTCTGATAAGGATAGACATAGCCCTTCCAATCCCTAGAAATAACTACATCACTGCTAAAAAAATCTCCAAAAAATGACAAGTGGGTTTTCTTTGTTTTGTTTTTACGTTCTGAGACTGGGATTTGAACTTGATATCTGATGCTTTCGCTCATGGCACTTTTCAGTTAAGCCACACCTCCAACCCCCAGGTTTTTTTTGTTTTGTTTTGTTCGTTTTTTTTTTTAGGGTCTGCCTCATTTCTAAGTACTAGGAATGGTCCCAGGAATAGCTTCTATTTAAGCCTATAATGATGTGAGCATATGACAACCCGTGTGTGGATTCAACAACTGATTTTCTTGTTGATTAATCCATGTCCCATCCTCTTACAGATATGTAACTTCCAAGGAAGGGAACAGTTTCTCAAATACCAATCAGGTCCAAATTCCATGCATTTTAATCCAAACTCAATATATTTCATACACACACTTAAAAGATTTGTAACATGCAAATCGATTAGAATACCCTTACAATCCTATAGAAAAAGTACAGTACAGGAAAGTTGTGTCTTTACATCAATCAACAAAATCTTGACATTTCATTTGCTTACGTCAATACAAGTATTAAGGGTCACCTCTTGCAAAATCAGATTTTAAAAATATCTTCTACAATCATGACTTTTGTCCTTCATTGTTCAAGTAAAATCTTATGTTATCCAGTTGCAAAATCTTATTATTGGTGATGTGTATACATGTATTAAAAACTACACAGCAATTTAAAAAATAGATTGTATCCAGTCAGGCCTCACAACATTTTATAGGCACATCCAATCATTTCACCTTGTAAGGAAAGCATTATTTTTCACTTTCATTCATCTGCCACGTTTTCAGAAAGAGTACATTCATACTTACAAACACACAAAACATGAAATCATGAGTAAGTGACATTTGAAAAACCATTATAAAAAAGAAGACTTTCCGGAAGTCTTTTGTTCAACAGAAATTAATTTAACTCTAAAAAACAAATACTATTTGTAAAGAAATACATAATAAGATGCAATAGATAATATGATGTTTGGTGTTGCTTGCTTTTTATAGGACTACACCATTTCTGAGAACATGTATTTTAATGGTTCTGTTCTTTGATGAAAACAGACAAGTGCTTTCATAGTATTGCATGTGAGAGTGTGATCAGCAGGTGTGCTTCATAGCAAAGAGAGAAATCAGACAATTGAAAGTACACTAGTTATGTCTGCCTTCTTTCTCAGCACCAGAAATGAAGAAATATTTGGCAAAACTTACTAACACCAAATATTTTTAAATTGCACAGTGTGACAGGATGTTGTCTAACATGGCTTTCCCTTACTACCCACAAACTCCACCCTCCCGCCCTCCCCCCACCCACCCCCACCTGCAAATACAAGAAAACAACCCAACCATCTTGAACTCAGGGCCTCACACTCTTGAGTGCTTAGCTTTTTCATTCATGGTGATCACTTTACCACTTGAGCTGTACTTCCACATCTGGCTAATTGGAGGTAAAAGTCTCCAAGATTTGTCTACCTGGGCTCACTTTGAACAGTGATTTTCAACTATCAGCCTCTTGAATAAGTAGGCTTACAGTCATGACCCACAAGTACCTGATTATTCTTCTTATACAGAAGTGGTTTACTACACAGGCATAGTAGCTTATGCTGGAGATGACAGAGCAGAGCTATTTCCTGGGTACTTCATGACATCAGAATACCATTTTAAAATATAGAGTAGCACAGTGCAGTCCATTACTTGAAACTGCTGCTAAACAGAAGTCACGCCAAGTCTTTAGTTTTTGGTGCAGTATTTGAAATTTAAGGCAACATTCCTAAAACATATTTTCCTTAAAGTCCTTATTTAGTTATATTTATAAAATGCTATTTTCTAAGGGGGGGGGGGGGAACAACAGAAAAAAGGCCACGAATACTGTCAATCTAATGATTTAGGTGTTAACATATTCCTATATTTCCAAATACATATATACAGATATTTTGTAAACTGTTTAGTTGATTTAATCACCACCCATGGATAAAAAATAGATTATAAGAAATGTTTGTAGAAGTGATGCAGTTTCTCAAAACAATGTTTCTCATAGAGCTTCAATTCATTTGCTGTTTATGATTAAGCTTTTTTTTTTTTTCCTTTTTATAAAAGCCTTCTCAATGCAAAAGAGTTCTGAGTGCATATAGTTAAAAGGATGGGCTCTTGGGTCTTCCACCTGGGATTGAATATGGCTTCACTTTTGTGAGAGTTATTGCAGTCTGCCCTGAAGTAGGACTATTGCTTCATTTTATTACAATAAGAAGTGAGTGTAACCTTCCGCCCCAGTAACAATAACGTCCATCCAAATCCGCATGGCTTCTGGGGATGGGGCCACCATATAATAGATTCTGTCGTGTGTCTTGACACTGAAGGTGAGTAATGGATTAGGACTCTGAAATGCAAAGAGGAAAAGACTGTCTAACAAACATCTTGAAACTAGAACATTAAATAACATACGCATGTTAAAGTTTCTTTTTTAATAGTTCTTCACTGTTAAGTATTTTTATGTAAGTATTATTTTTGCTCTACTATAAGGCCTATCCCTGGCCCACAATACTTTTCTCAAGATTGACCATCTTTCTCGCCTTTTAGAACAAGAAATCTCACCCATAGCTCCCTAATTCTCTTACTGGCTAGTCTGTAAAGCATAGTGCCTAGACAATAAGAGGTATTAAGTAAATTGTAGCTGTTACTTTTTGCCTTATAATTACCCTCCTATGGGCACTGGAAGATAACATGTGTACTCCTAGCTAATAAAGAGACTGAGATCTGAGAATCTTGGTTTGCCAGCTCACACAGACAAATTCAAGAGAATCATGTCCAATTTGCCAGCAGAATGCCTGAAGTGAAGGCACGGTTCAAGTGTTAGGTTGCCAGCCTTGAGCAGAAAAGCCAAAGAAGAGTGGGAGGCCCTATGTTCAAGCCTCCAGCACCAGCACACATACACAAAATTATATTTGAAAGTTCTACTAAATTATGACCGATTCATAACTACAAAGTAGCTTCTTTTGCAAACACTTGCAGAGTCATTTTGTAGCATCTCTCAAACTTATATATCCGGACTATTTTTTCATTTCACCAGGACTTTTTTTGGTTTCAGAAAAATAAACCACTGGACTTACTTCAATGTTAATTTCCCAGTGCCATTCTGATCAAATCTGTTATGCCAGAACACAACATCTAAATTGCTTAACATCCCCAGCTAATGTTTCCCTAACTTCATTTGCCTTCTAATTGCAGATATTTACAAAACTGGTGTTTACCTTATTAGCATTCTTGAGGTGGTCATAATATACTTCTTCAATGGCTTGAAAGTATATCACTCCTTTTAATTTAGCTTCATGCTTGTCTGCAAAAATAGATGAATGTTAAATACTTTATCAGCACTGATAGGCAAGAAAGTGTAATTTCATGCTCATCACCATCATTAAAATACCTATCCACAATTTAAATTATCTAACAGTTAATTTAAAAAACCTAGGCTAATGTATTAGTCCTGTTTTGTTTGTTTTTTTTAAAGAAAGAAACTATTTCCAGCTCTAAACCCAAGAGAATAGATGACTTTGTCTAAGACTCTTTGGTGAATTTATAGCAGTCAAAACAAAACCCACAAATGGAGCTAGAGTCAAGGTCAAGTTGTAGAGAGCCAGTTATGAACAAAGCAACAACATAGGGCCTAGAATTTAAGCCTTAGTACAGGCACACACACAAAAAAACTCCACCCAAAAACTTCAGGTTGTCTAATTAACCTTCAAAATACAAATACTATTGGTACCTGTACAAATCATTCCCACACATTCTCCAAGACTGTCTTTTTTGATCTATACTTTATATTTTCCTTACATTTCTTTTCTGTAAAACTGTGTAGCATGCTTGATTTCCCCCATAAAATTGAAATAGAGTTTTGAACTGCCAGTAGTTATGTCTTTAAACATAGTATTTTCTATTTCATTTCCAAAGATTAGTTTACCAAATGAATAAAACATACAAAACAATCAAAACTTTAACCAAGCATTTACTACATGGTGATCCTCTTAGTTCTTGAAATATTTTATGATTTAAACTTTGCAAGGATCGTAATGAATAATCAAAAGGACAGGGAGAGAGCAGCAAAAGAGACTATTGTAACAACAAATGGCAGCCCTTGTTCGAAGGCAACTAGTAAAACAAGAAACATTTGAAGTGCAAATATCCTTTTAATAATTCCACTTCAAAAGTTTATTGTATAAGATTATTTATGCAGCCAAGCAATGGTGGCTTAGGCCTGTAATCCTACCTACTTAAGAGGCTGAGATATAAGGATCTTGGTTCAAAGCCAGCCTGGAGGAAAAGTCCAAGAGACTCTTATCTCCAATGAATCACTAAAAAGCCAGAAATGGAACTATGGCTCAAGTGGAGAGCACTAATCTTGAGCATAAAATTTCAGAGACACAATAGAATCTGAAAAAACTGAGCTGTTTCTGTATGTTCTCAGAAGGAAATAATCTTAAACTGGGCATGGTGGTGCGGTCTCAGCACTAAGGAGACCAAGGCAGGAGGATCTTGGGCTGCCGACCATCCTGGGTTACATACGGAGTCCCAGCTCAGTCTGAATAACCATTAAACCTTGTTTCAAAAAGAAAATAAAACCAAAATAAATCAATTCTGAGATACGGTTATGCAAAATAGGGTATGAGGAGATTGAATAATTTTGGCCCTAAGCTGTATAAAAGCAAAAGTATATATACTATATGCACACATATTATAACATAATTATTATTATAACAACATAATTATTAATTACATTTATGTAACATAATCATATATTAGAACACATAAAATACATATTATTAATAATTGTAATGAAAAACATAAAAAGCAATACAGAAAATCTGAAAGAATATTTCAGCCCTAATGGGAGAATAAAGTCAGAATTTCTGATAGGAAAGGGATTTGACTTTCATTATATATATTTTCTCATGCTTGTATTTTTTATTTTGTGTAGGTTCTGGGGCTTGAACTCAGGGTCTTGGTGCTGTCTCTAAGCTTCTTTTGCTCAAGTACTCTATCACTTGAACCGGGGCTTCACTTCTGACTTTTTTGATAGTTTAGTGGAGGTAAAAGTCTCACAGACTTTCCTGCTCAGTCTGGCTTCCTAGGATTACAGGCCTGAGCTACTAGTGCCTGGCTACATTTTGCATTTTTTAACTAAGTGAATTTCCTTAGTTTTTCCCAATAATGTTTAAAAGCTCCTATGAAAAATAATGGCCAAAAATAATTCCATAGAAGACTTAGTTTGTCTATTTATTTATGTATTTATTTTTGCCAGTCCTGGGGCTTGAACTCAGGGCCTAGGCACTGTCCCCGGGCTTCTTTTGCTCAAGGCTAGCACTCTACCACTTTAGCCACAGTGCTACTTCCAGCCTTTTCTGTTTATGCTGTACTGAGGAATCAAACCTAGGGTTTCACACATGCTAGGCAAGCCCTCCATCACTCTGCCACATCCCCAGCCCCAGACTTAGTATATTTAATTGCAATGGACACAGCATCTCCCTAACTCATTGGATCATGGACCATATTTTTGTGTGTTTGCTTTTGCTTTTCCTTGGGAAACATTGCTTCAATATCATATTCAGGGGATTCCAGCCAGTTTCAGTAACACAGCAGGTCAGTGTATCTATTTTCTGCAGTCATTCATGAGAATATGGTAATACTTTTTATCTCCACACAGGTGTAAACTAAGATCTGGAGATGAAAGTAAATGCCAGTTTCAAGCAGGCAGAAAACTGGAAAACAAAGTTTTTGTTTGCAGAACATTTTGCTGGTTACAAAGCAGTCTCAAAGCCTTACAAGAGATCGATGATGCAGTTATGCATTGAGGAGACAATGCCAGTCATTCTGTCTCGCAACAGCATTATCCCTTCCATTTACACACCCATTTCCTGTGCCTCAGCAGGAGACTCTCCTCAAGTTCCCAGTTAATGTATTGGAGGTCAAGGCCAGAGGCCAGGGTCCAGTACAACACAATAGATTTGAGCACAGACAAGGCCGTTGACTTTGTAGACAAGCTGAAGGTCAGGGACAGCCAGAGCTGCAATCTGGAGGGCTTTGTGGGGACTCATTTGGCCCTGTGCATGTTGGTATTTAAAGGGGATAGGTGGGGCTTGGGGGTAAGTGCAGCCCCAACAGGTGATGGCCCTGCAGAGAATCAGTTGGGCAGCATTTATTACCTAGGTCTCTCTGTTTAGTTATGTCACACGTAAATGATTAAAAAGAAAAAGCTGATGGAATATAATTTTCACCTGTTTAAGTGTTAAGATGTGAGTGATCTTTCAGAGTCCAAATCATGGCTTGATATTTAAGATGAAATTTTAAATGAAACCCATCACTGCAAACTTTAAGTTGCAAAAGGCATTTCCCTGGGTCAGAAAGACTTAGGCTAGGAAAAGGAAGACCCATGGCAGTATTAGCCACATGGCTGATGGGTAACAAAACGAAGTTCACAGAAAAGGAAGTTACAGAAGTGTGCAACAGATTGGTCTGAAGGTCTTTAAAACTTTTACTATAACATCTTTGGGTGAGGTGGTCTGCAGGGATGAGCGCAGTGCAACATTTTGTTTCTGTATTTGAAAGAGCAACTGTAGGAAGTGGCACGTTGGCTCAAGTGGTAGAGCGCTAGCCTTGCGCTGAAGAGCTGAGGGACAGCATCCAGGCCCAGAGTTCAAGCCCCAGGACCGACAAAAAAAAAAAAAAATAAGGGCAACTGTAGTTGACAAACCACAGTTTACTATCAGTGACCATTGTCACTATCAGTGGCTATCAGCCTGGGCAGCTTCGTTATGTGGGATTTAAATAGAACATATAGAAAGAAATAATAAATAGTGAAACTCCTTTTCTGGCCATATTCTGGCCATATTTTAATGTAAAAACATAAATTCAAAATAAATAAAAATACAAATTTCTACTTACTACATATTTGAACTACAGGTTATTTCAGAACTTGAATACACTAATTCATATTTTTTATTTCATCTTATTCATTCTACTTTTTTGATTATTTTTAGTTACACAAAGGGGTTTCAATTCAACATGTCTGTTTATGTGGACAATTCACATTCTGATCAATTTAATTTATCAATTTAATTCATATAGTTTAAACTACCACAATTTTAATTTGGGTAGAAAAGAAATTCCTCATATTAAACTCTATAATCTAAATATAAAACAATACACATCTATGAGGCTAATAGCTCCACTAACTTATGACTTCCAATTATTTATACTGAATGTCTACCGCATATATTTAGTTTTTGCTTCTGTTCCTTAGAGTTTTTTTCTATTTTTCTTTTGGGGGTGGGGTGTTTACTGCATTGCCGCCTAGGCTGGACTCAAGTTGGGCTCACATGATCCTTCTGTCCCAGATTCTTGAGTAAGAGGAACTACAGGTATACTGAATTTTAATTGTACTTGCTTTGTAATACATTTGAACATACCAGTTCAACATTTTGATCACCTACCTGCATAATATGAAAATGTTCGTTTATTCCGATCAAAAACAAACCAACGTTTTTTCCAAGTTTTAATCTTTCCACCCATTTTGATGAGGAATCCTCGGCAGGTCTTCTCTGTGATTGACACATGGTAACAGGTGTCAATATTGTGGCCAGCGGTCTCCACGTGGCTGCGCAAATCAAAGTCCTCCTTCCGGACAGGCAGATAGCGTGTCAAAGGACGAGCCTGGAAAAGTGCAAAAGGCATGCCATCTAGAGCTTTTAGGTCATAGCTGTTTAGAAACAGGAACTAAATGTCATTCAGGGAGCTCATGGTAAATGTCTCAAGACTGAGAAGCAGATAGTAAAATGTCATTTTCTGGACTTCAGAGAGATAGCATTTTAACAAATGCAGGGAACTGAAGCTTGAAGTTGTCTGGGCTGTTCCATGTACACAAGATTCCATTACTGGGAAGTTTCCAAGAATTCTCCCTACTATAACTCAACAACAGCTCTTCTTAAGTAATTCCAGATTCACATGGTTTATTAAACACTGTTGAATAAAAAGAGACCCCATGAAGACCCTGAAAGTTGTAAACATCAGCTTTCTATCAGCTCTTATCATCTTGATAGAAATTGAAGGTAGAGATGAACATTTTGAAAAAAAAAAAAAAAAAGAAGAAGCTACAGTAAGCTGTAGCATCATAGCTGGATCTAATATCATGAGCTGTTTAGGACTAGAAGCCAAAAGTATGGACTTAGATGTCTTTATTTTATGAATGGGGAGGGCTAAAGTTCATCTAATTTAAAAAGCATATATCATCACCAAAGGTGATATTTTTAAAATGTGTTTATTTTATATAGTTAAACAACCCTACCCTTTTGTTCTGGGGAAAATGATCTAATCACTTACTGCAAGTCAAACTTATAATCAGTATTAAAACTGCTTTTGTTGTTGTCGGTGGTGGTGGTTGTGGGGCTTGAACTCAGGGCCTGGGCGCTGTCCCTGAGCCTCTTTGTGCTCAAATCTAGCGTTCTACCACTTGAGCCACAGTGCCACTTCCAGTTTTTGAGTTAATTGGAGATAAGAATCTCATAGGTATCTTTCTTTCTGGGCTGGCTTTGAACCAAGATCCTCAGATCTCAGCCTCCTGAGTAGCTAGGATTACAGCTGTGACCACCAGCATCCAGCTTAAAACTGCTTTTTTGGTTTGGCTTTAGATTCTAAATAGGCATGGACAACAGTTACCAATACTAAGAATTTGGCAGAGGTTGGGATAATGAATGAATGAACAAATTTTATGTTCCACTTTTACTCACTGTTTTACCTGTGGGACTTGATTGTAAACAGGTGCCCACAGGCTTACTGACACTTCACAACACACAAAAACAGTCCCCAACTTCTATACTGTCAAATAGCCACAAGTAGGAAGAATTATGCAATTATTCCTTTGCCTTTGAGTAGCTAACTCTGACAAAGCTAATGTGAGCTTTAAATTGTGTCATATTGAACAATATTTTACTTCTGTTGTTTTAAATAAAATGTGGTATTTTTCTGTATTATCTTTAGAAAAATATGTATCATGTAAGAAGCTATAGTAATAAGGACAGACGTTGTAAATCTCTATGACCAAGATAGGAAGTTAAATCAATGGGTGACCAGTGTAACAATGGTTATACAAAGGAAAAACAACCCAAAACACTAGCAACACGATCAAGAAATGGAAGGTAAATATCAATGCTTCAACCTACGCAAGAGGCTGAGATCTAAGGATTGTGGTTTGAAACCATCCCAGGAAGACAAATCTGAGAAATTCTTATTTGCAATTAACCAGCAAAGATCTGTTAGTGGAAATGTAGTTCAGGTAGAAAGGCTTGAGCAGGAAAAGCCAAGCAAGACCATGAGGCCTTGAGTTCAAACCTCAGGAGGGGCAAGTGGAGAGGAAGAAAGAGAGGGAGAGGGAGGGGAAAAAGAGGGAGGGAGGGATAGAGACAGAGAGATAGACAGGGAGGGAGTGGGAGAGAGGCGGATTTACTATTTAAGCTTTGCATTTGTTTTCAGCAGCCAATGCAGTGGCATTTTTCAGAGCCATTAAAAAATATATTCCTTTAAAGTAGCTTCAAGAAAGAATACAAGAAAAGTTTTCTCTCACCAACAGGTTGCCTGTGAGTAGTGTCTTTTGATTGATCGCTCCCTAGAAGTTGTGAAATATACTCACTTATTTAATATGTGAACACACATCTTTCTCTTAATCAGTCTGCCAGGTACTAATGGAATAAGGAAGAAGGCCTTGTGGGTACACCTTTAATTGGTAAGGAAGACATCCAGACATAAAATGGCAGTCTTTTGTGGAATGACCACCAGGGGGCACACCATGTTTATGAATTCGAATTAGATGACAAACCTGTGCTCTTTGTTTCTCCCTTATTTTTACTTCCTTTTCAATTAACTTCTGCCTCTGGCTAGTTTCTTCCTGCAAACGTTTTTCCAGGATTTCTCGTCGTCGTTTTTCTTCTTCCAGAGCTCGTTTTTTGGCTTCCATTTCCCGTTCCTAAAAATTATTATGCAAAACAATTATTTTAAGACATACTGATTATAATTCAACAACTCCAGCTAATACCTAACTCAAAATTCTCTCAAGATGATTTCTGGTTTTGCATTCTAGTCTCTTAAGATAACAAAAGCTAACAAATCTCATAATTGCCTTCAGCATACCTTTCTAAGCTTCATTATATGCAGAAACACAATGATTACATTTAATTAACAATTCAATATTAGTCTTAAGTCATAAGTCCTGCTTATGATTATATGTAGTCATTATGTAGTCATTCTGTACCAGTGACTACAGCTTGTTCTTAATTAAAAGCCTCACAAAGTGTTATGAACACTAGTCATGAGGTTCAGCCTTTCTTAGGACCATGGTCTTCTATCTGAGGGCCATAGGTCCCTCCAATTCCTGCTGCTGCTCTGCGAAGCTTATTGGCTGAAGTTTGCAGAGGAAGTATGGGGGAAGTTAGGAGAGGAAAGGAGGTGCCCTTGAGGCAGGATGCAAAGGCATTTGGGGGATTCCTCAGGAAGCTTAGATTTTCGCCTTGAAATACATCAACAATAACATGGAGTTTTAAAATATTAAAATAGTGCAGTTAGCACAAGCTGGGAAGGAAGGGAGAAGGCCTAAAGACAGACCATTCTTCTCTATTCCTTGGCCCAACCACAGAGCAGCCATTCCAGGCCAAGTACAGTACAAAACATCCATTTCAGTCTATGTCAACACTACATAGTCTATGCCAAGACATTTCTCAAGGGATAGAAAATGCTGTGGTAATGAGCCTTTACTTTTCAGGTAAGAAAGGAGCCTGAAACTCAAGTGGAAGAGCGCTAGCCTTGAGCTGAAGAGCTGAGGGACAGCGCCCAGGCCCAGAGTTCAGGCCCCATGACCGGACCAAAAAAAAAAATAGAAAGAAAGAAAGAAAGAAAGGAGCCTGAGAAAGGCTGAGTGGCTTCAGGGTCACAACACTAATTTAGGCTCTTGAAGGAGAGATGCTTTCTGAAGTCAGGAGCCAGGCTCCTTATACCAGCAACACAGGCTGGGGTGAAGATACAAGGCTTACCCTGGATTCAAGCAGCCGGGTCTTTTCTGCATGAGCCTGTTTCAACAGTCTCTCCATTTCTTCTATTCGGGCAATATTAGAAGTGCTGGCACTGAATCAATAAAAAGACCTTCTAAGAATACTGGTTCAGACTGCTAAGTTCTCTCTTTTTCTTACACAGACACAGATACAGACACAGACCAACACACACACACACACACACACACACACACACACACACACGAACAAGGGAGGTGTATGACAAAACCCAAGCACACACATTTTAAGCACACACTAACAAGTTATTGATCTGAAGAGGCAAATCAATTCAGCTCTGAAAACTCCAAGTGACATTGGCTTACAGCCATTAAAGAGACCAAAATAAGCTAGCAAAACAACATTAGTGTGAATGGCTTTTCTCAAAAAAAGCTAAAGCCAAATGCATCCTTCAAGGTCTAACAAGGGTAGCCCGTGAGAGATAGGCCTGTTAGTTTAAAGATCCATATCCTAGCCCAACAAGATCCCCAATGAAGTTCCATGCCAAGGACACCAAGGTCTGATGTCATTTTATTCTCTTGGGAATGTGTATCCTCTAGCTCTTTCCATTATGAATTTAGATGTGACCATTTTACTAAATGATGATATAACTGAAAAATGACTCCTATAGGGGCGATGGTCAGTAAATGGCCAGTTCTGTAAGCAGCCCCCACCTGCCATATTAAAGAGGAAACGGCACAAAAGGATTCAAGGGAATCAAAATCCATGGTGAAAAAGACCTAAACCAGGAGAAAAGAAATTTATAAAAGTATATATGGGTGGGGCTGGGAAGGTGGCTCAGTGGTAGAGTGCTTGCCTTGCATGCCTGAGGCCCTGGGTTCGATTCCTCAGCACCACATAAGCAAAAAGAAAAAAGCCAGAAGTGGCACTGTGGCTCAAGTGGTAGAGCGCTAGCCTTGAGCTGAAGAGCTGAGGGACAGCGCCCAGGCCCAGAGTTCAGGCCCCACGACTGGACCCAAAAAAAAAAAAAAGTATATATAGGTGCTAGGGCTGAATTCCTAGCAACTCAGGATGCTGAAATCTAAAGATCAAGATTTGAAGCCAGATTGGGCAGAAGAGTTCAAGTTATGCTTTCTTCAGTTAATCAGCAAAAAAGGTGGAAGTGGAGGTGTGGCTTCAGTGTTAGACACTAGCTGTGAGTGGAAAAAGCTACATAAAACAGTGTGGTTCTTAGTTCAAGCCCCAATTACCAGTGCATGCAGGTGCGTGCACACCCCCTACCCCCCAAACACACCTTCTTTCTCTCTCTCTCTTTCTCTTTCACACACACACACACACACACACACACACACACACACACACACACACACACACACACACAAGTGTACATAAAAATAAATAAGCGGAGTCTGCCTGATTATAGATAACCTGATCAAATCAAGCCCAGGATGATTGAAATCTATAGCAAGACTGTTTTGACAAGATAAATGTACAGTAACATTTTATTAATATTATTTATTAATTATTATTTATTAATTTTATTAATTTTATTAATATTAGCATGTGGCTAATAAAGTCAGCACTGTTGGCCCCATTAGAAAGCCTACTCTGGACAATAGGGGCTGTTTTAGGAAGACTGGATCCTTACAAGCTTAATAATGAAGCTGGGCTTGATAATGTTATTCTGTGGCTATTTTTAGCAAGGCATTTTCTCCTGAGAAAGAGGAAACCATGATTTCTTATTATTGTTTTCATTAGCTACTGGGAGAGGTTCAAAAGAGTGAGATCTGTTCTGTTTAGCTATCAAGAATTTTTTTTAAAAAAAATCTTGAATTTATGTGGAGAAATCTTACTCCTCTTCCTTGGTAATGCCAACTTCTTCGATGGAATAGGCATAAATATCATTAATCTAATGAAGAAAGCTGAAAGTATTATGTGGCTGGAGGTCAGATAATATCACAAAATTATAACACAAAATTATGTATCTGTAACATCCACAATGACTCACTGTTAGGTTGTTTTTAAAAAAATCACAAGTTAAAAAATAAAGTTGGGCTGAGGATGGAGTTTGATGGTAGATCATATATGTGAGGCGCTGGGTTCAATCTCCAACACAAAGTCATCAATAGCCTACTCCTATTGGACACATTTTTGGTACAGTCCACATTGACTTAGATACTACTGTTTTACACATTGTCTTTATCCATTGAACCTTCCTGAAGACTGTCACAAAGGACTTAAAATTCTACTGAGCTGAAATTTATTTTCATGATTTTACACTAAAATATCCCCAACTTATGAAAGAAGTAATACCACACTGAAATTCTAGCGACACCAACTTGGTTTTGTGGCTTCTTATGGCATCAAAAGCCACTTGCAGAGTGATATAATTGTTTAGTTATGAGTACATGTGCCTTTCCCTTTTGTGTTGAAACAGTATTTTTGTGACTCCTGGAAAGTCACGAGTCAGACATTGGTTTTGCTTTGTCAGCATCTTTATTTACACTGTAAACAAAATAGGTCTTGAGACTTAGCAAACAAGTAACTGAGGGTAAATTCCACACAAAAATCTCTATTCTGCTAAAACTGCTGGGTTGTGTTATGGAATAATCCTGTAAATTCAATCTGCAGTGAAACTTACAATTTCTGTTGCCTTTATTAGCACTGATCGGCTTTGATCTTGGGCTCATACTCTGACACATGAAGAAAAAGTATGGTCAAAGACTCGTACTGAGAGAGGTGCTGAGCCTGTCATCAGTAAGAAGTCCTAGATGAGATGGAAGGCAGGGCTGGGTCTGGAAAGCAGCATCTGGCTTTGGTTTTATGAACTAGGGGTTGGGACATTCATTGGCAGAGTTCCAGAAAAGGAGAAACACTAGGACCCGTTTGTATTCAGATGTGGCTCTAATTCCCTAACACTGCTTTGCTTGCCCTAGTGTATGAATAGAAATGTGGATGGCTAAATCCTTAAAAATATTTTAATATACAGAAGAGCTAAGGCTTTCCTTCTACTCAGGCACAACAAGGATTTAAAAAAAAAAACCAAAAAACAAACACTGAAAGTTTGACTCTACTGTAAATAATTTCTTCATTTAATCAAAAGCAGCGCAAATGGAGCTTGGAGTCCACCCACAAAGGTGCTTCATTATTGAAGCACTTCATATCCAAATTCAAGAGTAAAGAAATAAGATTAAGTAGAAAAATGAACCATATAATATTTGATTAGCTAAGTCATACAAGCTTTAAATGACTATGATTGTTTTTTCCCTCCATACTGGAGATTGAATTCATGGCCTCATGAATGCTAACCAAATTCTCTACCACTTGTATCATCCCTCCAGATCTATTTTGGTTTTTCAGCTAAGGTCTTTTGCTTTTGCTCAGGCTGCCTCATCTTACAATCTTCCTACCTCTGCCTCTGGGATAGGGGATTACAGACAAACTTTACCTTGCCCAGCAAAAAGATACTATGTTTAAGGGTCTCCTTAATAGTTTGTCCTCTTCTGACTCATATCTTGTGTCTTAGAAATTTGGTTTTGCACAATGTCTCAAATTGATGAGTTCATGTTGGAAGCCAGCTGGGGCTTTTCTAAAGCAGAAATTCCACCCATCAGTAAATCTTACCTAGAGATATTGTCAGGTGAACAGGCAGAGATGCTGGTCTCCATGCTATCTGAACTGTCCAGGCTCAGCGTGTCAAAGGCCTGGTCCTTGTAGCTGTGATCGGGGTAATGGAAACTATTCAAGTAGACATTTGACTCTGAGGCTGTGCGGTTGTAAAATTCAGATTTCTGCCTTTGTCCTTCACTCATCTGCTGGTGATTATAACCTAAGGAAAGAGCCATAAATATGTAAATATGCCTACATTATCAGACTTAGAATCTTGTAAGTGTACAGACTCAAAACAGCAACCAGAAACATCTGCATTTGAAATTGGGGCCTTTGCTTCACTTTGTTTTAAAGCCAAGCAGATCAAAGGAAACAGCAAGCAAGAGTGCCTAAGAAATGGTCTTGTGTGCTAGTGGGATCATTTGGCACACATTTATCTCATTTCTAAGACTAGCAGCCCAACTGTGAATAATACAGCAGCACACACCCAAATTTAAAAGAAAATGAACCAGAAACCCAGTGAAAGCCTTGAATCGTCTTAGAACTATGTTCAAGTGTAGGCACAACCAGGCCTAGTGCAAGCAACAGCAGGCCATAGGTCAGATACTTCTTCAATGCTCTTCACATGCCAGGAGTCAGGAGTGCTCAATCTGGCCACTAAACAGCAAGTGGAGCGTTCTGGCACAGGAGTTGAGCGAAGCGTGTCTCAGACTGTTCTGACTAATTGGTTGGGATCCAAACTGCATTCATTCTTTCTGTCTGTCTCTTCCTCTGTCTGTCTGTCTGCTTGCCTGTCTCTCTCTTTCGCTGTCCCTCTTTGCTTGTCTGCTCTGTCACACGCTGTCTCCGTGTCTCTCTCTCTCTTTCTCTCCCTCCTACCTCCTTTCCACATTCCCTCCCTTTCTCCTTCCCTCCCCAGCAGTTCCTCTACCAATCACTTATTTAAAAGATTCAGGCCTCTCAACTCTTCAAATGGTTGAATGGTTGCCCCCTCGGCCTCACTGTGTATCATATAACTGTCTGTTCCCCATTTTAACATTCACCTATTAGATAGGTGGTAATAGCTGTTGAAAAACATAAACATCAATAGGATCAAAAGCGCCATAAGTGCCAGGCCTTTTCTTTACCCTTCTTAGCAACATTAAGCAATGGGCCTAAATTGTGGCCTGCTCTCTGATAGCTGGTTTGGGCATTACAAATCAAATTGTCTACTTTTCAGTTCTCTTATCATATACTCACAAAGCTGATACTCATAAACAAATTCCCAATTCATTAATTTTCTTTTCTTTATAATTTACTTCTCCTTAATAAAAGAAATTTTTACCTAAACAGGTATTATTACCCAGGGAATCAATACCAAGGATATTAAGAATTTACAATTAAACCATTTCAATTTTGCCTCTTCTCTTTTGCTCTATTTTTCTTTTTTCTTTTTCTTTTTTTGGCCGGTTGTAGAGCTTGAACTCTGGATCTGGGAGCTGTCCCTCAGCTCTTCAGCTCAAGGCTAGTACTCTACCACTTAAGCCACTGCACCACTTCCAGTTTTCTGGTGGTTAATTGGAGATAAGAGTCTCATGGACTTTCCTTGCCTGGGCTGGCTTTGAACTGCGATCCTTAGATCTCAGCCTCCTAAGTAGTTAGGATTACAGGCGTGAGCCACTGGCACCTGGCTGCTCTATCTTTCTATGAAGCTTTTACTTAGCAATAAAATAGTCCAAAAACCGGGCTAAGGACAGAAGGGAAATAATTCTAATCTATCTATCTTTTTGATTATTTGGACTTTGCCAGAAAACCACGCAGACATCTAAGTACAGAGATAAAAGATTTATTGCTGGTCGGCAAAACCCCTTCTCACAAGGGAGTAGTGAGAAGAATCATTGGCTATTGTGAATGACCTATATAACCTAGGAGGTTTAGGAGAGACTAGAAGGAGGCGGAGACCCTGGTGTGGACGTGAGGACCAGAGACTTCATCATGGCGGATTAGGATTTATGGTGCTGTCCAAATAGTAGATAAGGGATCCTGCAACTGCCCAGACTTGAAGGTCACTCTAAGGGGCTCTTGTTGCCTTATATGGTGGTAGCTGCCCCAGAGAAGTGCCATCCCAAGGTAAGGGAGGTTGGAGGCTGATTATTTATTGCCTTTACTAAATGGGCTTAGTGTTGCCTAGGAAGGGAGCATGTTAAGCTTTGGAGAGGGGAAGGAGTGTACTAAGCTATGGAAAGGGAGTTCATTTCTGTCTGTCTATCTGTCTGTCTGTCTATCTCAATTGCTTCCTCAGCAACTGATTAAAGGTTTTCTCATCCCTGGTGCCTTAACAAAGCATTATGGGACCACTGTTTCCATAGCTTCATACAAAGTTTCCTGCCATTAGTGTTTGGAGCAGTTTTAGAAATCTAAGTGAAACTATGATATTTCAGATGAACGTGTTTCTGGAATTTAAATTTCCTTTATTTATCTGCCATTATAAGTTATAAACACCTATATGTTAAAGCCATATATTACTTAGCTGAAGAAAGATGCAAAACATAAAAGTACATCGGGAGACTGGATTGAAGATCATTATAGTAACAGAAGAGGCAAGCCTAAAAGATGCTTTAGTTTAGCCTGTGAATTAACAAAAAGTCCCCAAACTCTATCTGGACCTTTCATCTGTGTTAGTCTCTGCTGAAGTTTCTTTGCACTCACATTGGGCTTCAAGAAATAGGAAATTCAGGGCTGGGAGGGTGGCTCAGTGGTAGAGTGCTTGCCTTGCATGCATGAGGCCCTGGGTTTGATTCCTCAGCACCACATAAGCAGAAAAAGCTGGAAGTGGTGCTGTGGCTCAAGTGGTAGAGTGCTAGCCTTGAGTTGAAGAGCTGAGTGACAGCGCCCAGGCCCAGAGTTCAGGTCCCACTACCGACAAAAAAAAAAAAAAAAAAAGAGAAAGAAATAGGAAATTCACTGATAAGCACCTGTATGGAAGGCAAACTGCTCTTCCCACAGATAAGGTCTTATCTTACAGAGAGAGCCAAAAATTTGGGAGACCATCTTGATCCAGTTCCGTTACAGTAATAAAGTGAAAACAACTGCTCTGGAATTTCTCCAAAGACAAGACTGAGATAATGGCCAACTAAGCCACTTTGTGATTTAGAACTGTTTTGATAATGCTACCTTTCTCCTAGCCTTCCTCCAGTATTCCATATTCAATCTAAAGTCCATGATGTACCTCAGGAGATGGCTGAAAGATGTAACTGAAATGCTGTTTTCCCATGGCTGCAATGTAAAAAAAAAAAAAAGAAAGGCCCTCTCTTTCTTTTGCCATGTCTTTATATTTGAGGATGACTTTGGGTTTTGGTTCTAAAAACTCATTTCAAGAAACTATTGTTGCAGAAAGTTTACATCAAGCCAGTGTCTTCCTAAGCTTTGTGCTTTTATTTTTTTTAAAGGCAAAGTAAAGAATTATTCAAATATTTACTTTTTATAGTTGAACTCTTGGAATTTTTAATTGCTCTTTTCAAATTGTTTCCTAATACTCATTATGAAAAGAAGAAAAACAGACATTGTTTGAAAAGGTTACACGTGAATATTTCCCTATGATTTTGAGGCTGTGGCACAGGAAACTTCCATATTGGGAAGAACTACGTGGGAGACATTTTCTTGTTGGAATATGAAAAAGAAAAAGAAAATCCCTCAAAGACTGTGTGAGGATTTATATCCCAGGCAGCGACCTGTGCCTGGCCACCATCTCCTTGGCTTTCTACAACCAGGAAAAACCTGTCCCAGGGGTCGACTAATACTGAAGTCGGCCGAATGATAGTGAACATTTTTCTTCAAGTAACTGCATATATGCTCTGCCTCTCAGATCTTCCAGAGCTGTGGTTTCTCTTTGTTTTGTTTTCTTCAAAAATATCACACAATAAGAAAATGACATCCGGTGAGTGTGACAGCCAACCATGAGTCCAATGTGTCAGATTGCACAAGGATGTCCCAATGTATATGGTGAACATAAATTCACCATACCAACTTGCTGTGTACCGAGGTTTGCCTCTACATCTGCAAGAAACTTCTAGTCATTCTGGTAGCAGGTCAAGCACCTTACCTGGTTTGGGCAACTTAACTGACAGCTCCTAAGGCTAAGAAGCTTATCTATCAAATGCAGGATTTCTATCTCCCCTAGATTCAATGTGAGAGGAAGGTTTGCCTTAAAGGTCCAAGCAAGAAACCTGAAAAAGCAGATAAACTCCCCTCTCCCAGCATATCTCCTTCCTAATGTTAAATTACAAGATTAGGAGATAGAGGAGGGGCTAGCTACATCTGTCTTATTGAAAGAATAAAAAGTATGTCTGTCTCCCAGAAGGGAGTCTAGAAGGCTCCCTGTTATTTTTGGGTGGGCTTCACCCATTTTTATCCACCCAGAAGCCATTGTCTAATGGTTGAGGTTGTTAGACAGACATGACCACATGCATCCTGTTCCCTGCCTGCCCTCTCTTCGCCCCCAGCTCAAAAAGAATAAAGGCAGCAAATAACAGTTGTCACTTTGAGTCTTTAACTCCTATCTTCTGTATGGGAAGCAGGGAATGCTCTATTTATCCTTCCTTTCTCCTTTTATACTTAAATAAACCCTTGCTAAAACTTTCACCCGAAGTGCTTTACATAAATAGATCCTAAGACTTGTGTTTTTGCATGGGAACTGGGAAGCTGAGGGAACACCTCATCCATCCTCCAATAACAGAGGTTTCTATAACAGGGGCATGGCCCTCACATCTACATTCTGAAGAACTTGTTTTGGGATTTGGGCTCTGGCTTGGTCATCCATAGGCACAACAAATTGCCATACAGGAAAGACCACAGAAGAGGCTGGGACTAAAGAAGGACTTGGTTGGAGTTCTAGGGAGGAAGCAGCTACAGGCCTAGAACCCCACTCTGCTAACTGTCAAGGACGATGATTTGAAGTCCTACTCACACAATTTATTTGGCATGTACAGTCCACAAAACTGGCATTAATGGAATACACTCTTCCTCTGTAAATTCCAAAGATCCTAGGGGCTAAATAAGGAAATGGAATGCATCTACTGTTTGGAGTGAGGAACAAGAACAGACTTTAGAAAAGGACAGCCTTCCTCTCCCCAACCCTACTTGGGTTTTGTTTTTATTGACATGAACAGAGTAATGTTCAGCAGAGTAAAAGCAACTACAAAATCAAAGCAACCTTGAAAATGCTCCAAATCCTCCCATTCTAAAAGAGAGAGCTGCTTGAAAGAGCAGCTGATCAGATTTATAAAGCAAGACCTCATATCTAAAGCTCATCTCATAACACTCTACAAAACAAGACCAACTCTCCTCCTTGCCTGAGAGAGCCAGCAGTTTAGATTCACAAGGTTAATTTATCATCAGTCTTATTTCTAAAGCTCATCTCTATGAATTCTGGACCCAAAAGGGACGATATCAATTAACTATTGTAAGATATGTAAAGTTTTGTCAATGTATACCAAATGTATGTTTCAATGGTTATCTGGGCCTTCATATAGAAAGTTCGAGAACTTAAAAATCATAACCTAGGCTTAAAGAATAAAACTAACCAGGATTTGTGACAATTCAGCCTCTCACCTGCTGAAGAATTCGTTCTTCCTAATGATAGTCCATAGAAGGATGAAGGCCAGGACAGGTCAGGAATGAAGGGAAATGATGGAGAAAGGGAGAAAGGTACAAGATCAGAAAAGATGGCAAAAGGACAGAAAAATATATAGTACTTCCAACATGCAGTCTCTGATGGCTTTAACATTACCAAAAGAACCACTGAAGGATGCTCACAGGTTTAGATTGAATCTAAGTTTCAAAAAATAACTGAAGGAATTTTTTAATGACTTTATGAAACATGCATAGTTAGTTAAAAAAGAAAGATTTGTTATTACGGAAACATTTTTTACTATATTCATCCATCAGATAATCCAAAGCATTAAAAACAAACTTGTGTCCAATGAACACTTCTCTTTTCCCCAAGCAGACAATAGCAAATAGTTTTAAGAGCCAACGTTTGAAAAATGCCATTCCGTTATTTGAAGCACAGTCCATGGAATTTTATAACAAGTTTTTAAACATCCTATAGATAACTACCTAGCATCAGTCATCGCCAGGATACAGATTTAAGACAGTCACTTAAACTCTTCTTCACTGTCCACTAAAACTGTCTTATTAAATAAGTTTCAATGGAAAGAATAAACAGAACGTTCTTAAGACCTTCCCTTGTCACGCTTGTCCCCTTCCTCAGTTACTTCTACCTGGCCTTCGTGAGAGAGGGACGTTCAGTTTTACACTTAGCCTGTACACACCCCACTGCCTACTGTTCTTATGTAGATGCTAAACCTTCCAAGTTCAAGCTTTGTATTTCTTGCATGGTGTGAATCTGGGATAGAAACCCAAAAGAAGAGAGTCGTGCAGCTGTCAGGAGAAAACAAGCAGCTGCACTCAGCATTGTGTTTCTCACAAAAGTACAAAAATATTTTCTTTATTGTGTCAAAGGAACAATGATTAGACTAAAAAAAAAAAATCCACCATGGTAAAGCATAAAATCTGATCACTTCTAAAGATGACTTGACAATGACCTTTTCATATTTGCTGGAAACAAAAACACCACACAAGGAGATTATCATACCTTTCCTGGACCTTCCTGCATTTAACAACAACAACAACAACGAAGAAAAAGAAAGAACAAAGATTGCATTCATTCTGAAATAGTTGACAAGCTGTACAAAAGCCAATGATTGTTGCAACTGCTCTCTACTTTTATCTCTGCTCTCAAATTTCTTTGTTGGCCTGGCTCACTTTGCCAGTGCTATGCAAACAGAGCTAAGGAAGGCTGTACTTACACCAACATCCTTGATGCATCCATTATGAATAGCAGCAAAAAAAAAAAATGGTGCATGGAAATTAAATGTGTACGTAAGAAGTGAAAAAGTCAACATTTGAGTTAAGGAAAATTTATTAGGTACATTTTTTTTCCCCTCCCAAACCTTGTAGTTTTAATTGCATTTTCTATTTGAATGAAAAGCCCAGTAAAAAATTGTAAATGTATAAATGATTCATTCTTCCTAGTTCTAGTGAGCCACTTCTTCGGCCTTCGTGAAAAATTCTGCCAACTTTGTCGTCTGCTATGCCTCAAAGAATTAGTCTCACTGATCACTGTTCCTCTAGGTGGAAGAGCCAAAAGCAGCAGAATCATCTCTGGGTTGGCAAACCTATAACCGTTCTCTATTTTTTCAGAAGCCATCCATTCAGAGTCCTGAGAAACTTTTAGCAGAACATCAGCCTCAAAGCTGCAGCAAAGACTAGAGCTTCAGTCTTCTCAGGAACACAAAAGATAATGTACATCAAGAACGAGAGCACAGAGATAAATCGAGAGCAAATAATGGCTTTGTGGATCTTATGTCCCTAGGTGAGCTAGGAGCACTGGGTTAGCTTTCCTTTATGACACTAGCAGGAGGACTCCTTTTATTTGGTAGAAAAATGGATTCAAAGCACAAGAGATCAAATATTCCTTCAGATTCACTGTGTTCTCATAAAAATCCTCCTACAGGATAATGTTAACAGCTCTAGAGTTTGATAAGTCTATCCATTTAGTGCAAAGGTCTAGCTTTTCTTGCTTTCTACTTTAGGGAAATATTTTCCATCATGTGTGATCCCTCCCAGTTTCCCTGGTGTGTGCTCAGTCTTCCCCAGTGTTCCACTGCAACACATAAAGCATGTGTGCTCTGAATGGCCTTGTGTGCTTCCCTGGCCAGGCTACACTTTGATGTCTTTACTCACTGGTAAAACACATTTAAAAGGAAGCCTATTCATAGCATCGAAGAAAGAAAGAAAGAAAAATTCTTCAACAGAAAATAAGACTCGATTCATATGTCCACAGTGATAAATCAAAGCCAAAATACAAAGACTTACTTATGCTTATTATTTAGCAAAATTAGGAGATATTTTTAGCCTACTGAGAAATTACGGAAAACAAAGAGAAGTTCCATCAAATGCATTTTATTTAAATACTACAAGCAAAAACCTGTCTTCTAAATTATAAACCTCTCATAAATGCTATAGCTTTCATTAATTTGTTTTTGAATTTTTTTTGGAGTTCTGACCAACATCATGTCCACCACCAATAGTCAAACCATTTCTAGTAATGATTTACAAACTTCCTGCAAGTGATATCTGACATATACCCATATGTACCCATTATATGAATATACACATAAACTTTTATGCGTATTATCTCTAACTGTATTAATGTATCACAATATAAGTATATATTTGTATATATGAGTGTGTGTATACATATACATACACATATTTTCCCCTTGGTAGAAAACCAGTATTATCCCCGCCCGCCCCCAGCACCATGCAGAGAAGCCCAACAGTCAAAATTGAATTTCAGCCTTCTCACAAGTAAGGCTTCCAGCCCATCCAATCCCTGAATGTATTTAGAAGCCAGAAGTTGAGCACAGTAGTCTCCATCCCAGCTATGATGGAAGCCTACAGCAGGCAGATTGTGGTGTAAGCATGTGCCCAGCAGGAAGTGATACTCTATCTTAAAAATAACCAGCACACACAGAAAAAAAGGCTTGAGGTGTGTGCTTAGTGGTAGAGTACTTGTCTACCAAGTGCAAGACTTTAAGTTCAAACACAAGTATTACCACCAGAAAAAAAAAGTAAAATTGATCCCCTTTCTCATATCCCCAACTCTGTTGTTACTCCCTTTCCCTGAGAAATTTTAAAGCTTCACAAAAGACCACTCTATGTAATGGCAAGGTACATACCTCTGAGCATCCGCCGAGATTCTGAGTCTTTGGTCATGGTTGCCAGGGAGTGTGGCAGCACGCTGCCACAGCTGTTGCTCTGCCCCAGAGGCATGTGAGCCTGTGATAATCAGGAGGGAACATGTCAGGCAAACATCACTCCAAAGTGTCCTTCAGAAAATGGTCACTTCCTTGTTTCCACAGCTCCTATCTAAGAATTGAGGACTGAGAAAGTGGGTCTTCATGTACTATTTGTTGATACTAAATGGCCAAGGCCAGTCACTGTTCTTCCTAAGAAACTCATGTCAGTCTTAATGTCACAGCACTTCTCCAATGGGGAAGAAGCTATCTATTGCACCTGAGTGAATGGCCGAAAGTTCTTCATGCATTAGGAGCCGAGGGCAGAGGCAGGGACAGGAATGCATGCATACCATGCAATAGCCCAGGAAGACCTACACTTTTTCACATGCACCAATTTCTATTGACCTCCAGTTTTGCAAGAAATGGAAAACTGGAGAAATACACTAATACCCAACTGGTATAAGTATGCTTTAAATATAAATATAAATAAAATATACTTGAAACACCCACAAAAAAATAAATGAAAACAAAGTTCCTTTGATTCCAGACAAAGAAGGGCCAGTAACTCCTGCATTAAGAACTCCCTTGCTTAAGCTGGGTGATAGTGACACGTACCTGCCACCCTAGCTACTTAGGAGGCTAGGATCCAAAGGATCACGTTTTCAAACCAAGGGCAGAAAAGTCTGAAAGATTCTGCCTCCAAAACGCCCCGTAAGAAGCAGGACTAGAGGCATGGCTCAAGTGGTGGAGTTGATAGCCCAGCAAGCAAGCTGAGTAAGCTTGAAACCCTGAGTTTGAACCCTGGGTCCAAACCAAACAACAACAGAAAATAAACAAAAGAAAGAGAAAAATGAGTCTTCTCATCTTTCATTTGACTTATCCTCCATGTCTGAAATGCCAGAGTGCGTACCAGCAGAACATAATGGGGGTGGGGGGGCACAGACATTGACTCCCATGGGCCCCCATCTCAGCATAATTAACTGCTTAAAGCTCTGGCATTGGTCACTTAGCTTCTTATACCTCAGCTATCCATACATATGAACGACACAGTAATCACTAAACATTTCTATTGCCTGATGATGCTAGGTTTTACGATGAAACTATTTTCCAGGCACTGGTGGTCCATGCTTGAGAGCTGAGGATTGAGGTTCAAAGCCAGCCCAGGCAGGAAAGTTGGTAAGAAGCTTCTCTCCAATGAACCATCCACAAAAGCCGGAAGTGGAGATGAGAGAACCACTTGAGTGAGGCCTTGAGTTCAAGCCTCAACACTACCACAATAAATACATTAATTAATTAAAATGAGACTACTCGCATAAAGGGCTAAGCCCAGTGTTAAACATGTAGAAATTGATCCAACAAACACTTGGGGCTGTTACTGCTGGAGTCCTAAGACTGGAGTTTAAATCTGATCTTATTTCTAAATCTGGGGTGCAGCTATCCCAGGAGCCTGTCAGGTGTGTAAATTGGGATAATGAAAACTGGGATATCCCCAGAACATGTAACTCTAAATATCCTACAGATAGCAGAGAAAAGCTAGTCATAATGTCTGCCACACAGCAAATCCAATGCACGTTATCATAAGCTTTTTTCCTTCCAGGCCCCAGCACGTTGGCGAAAAGACACTGGGTAAAGGAACCCTTGGTTCTTCCAGTCCTACCTTGGGGGTGGCGCTTCTCCCCATGGTAGCACTGCTGAAATGTGGGGAGATGGACGGTGTGGTTTTCTTTCGAGGCAAAGTGTCACTCAGATAGAGGCCTTCTTTATGCTGTTTTTTCCTTTCTTCCAGACTTCTAAAGTGCTTTAAATGCAAATGTAAAGCAAAATGCAAAACTTGACTAACCGCAACAGATCAGGGAAGAAATGATGATATATATGCTTACACAGACATTTTCAAATGTTAACTGTGATTTTCTACTTCTGCTTATGTTGATGGACAGGTTTTGGTTAGCCTCTGCTGTTACTGAACAATGGAAGAATTTATTACTGAATCACCTTTCACTTCTGTAGTGCTGCCTGGGGGCTTCAGCACAACTTAAGAGTGATTGTGAATGTTGCTGTTAATTTGATGGCTTTTGGCATGCGGGGTGGTGGGACAGGGTGGTGGAACAGCCAGTGGATCAAACAAGTAAACAATGGTCTGTCTGGATAGTTCAGTGTGATGGCCCAGATCCCAGAGGCCAACAGGAAAGGACAGAAGGAAGTGGGCGAAGAGAAAGAGCAAGTAAATAGAGAAGTTGGATGAAAGGGGTGATACTATTTCAGTGACATAAACACTCTCCAAATGTATACAAACTTTCCATAGAAGGCACCCTTCACAGTTACTCTCGTAATCCACGCCCCTACTGTAACTGTAATCATATTTAACCCCCCCTTTCCTTCTCCACTCTCTCTTTTCCTCCAATTATCTTCACTAGTAAGGTGATTTCCTACACAACCCCCTTTTAGATGTGATCATTCTAAGTTCAAACTCTTGAAATACATAAAAATTATCAGATGTGGTAGCACAGCATTTGGAAGGCAGAGGTAGGAGGAGCACATATTTGAAGCCAACCTCCAGTATTCCTTTCTCCTAGCTTCTCCCTTATAGCCATCAAACACTATGATCAATAAGAATAATTTGTTTGACTTCACAATATGTAGATGATAGAGTTTATGGGAGTATTTACTAGCATATTGAGGAAGATGTAAGATCAATTGTAGTATTTTTTGAAGATATGGAATTTGTTCAAATGCATCAGAAGCCAGAAGACAATCAAGATCTCAAAACCTTATAACAATCCTGTACCTTTAGAAATACTAAATGTCAAGAAAGAGAGAGAAAGAGAGAGAGAAAAGAAAGGAAGGAATAAAAAAGAAAGAAAAAGACAGACAGACAGACAGAAAGAAAGAAAGAAAGAAAGAAAGAAAGAAAGAAAGAAAGAAAGAAAGAAAGAAAGAAAGAAAGTAAGAAGAAAGGAAGAAGCAACAAAAGATCTTGCCCTTCTAAAAATGACCTTTGAGCCAGGTATTGGTGGTTCATGCCCATAATCCTAGCTACAAGGTCCTCAGATCTTGGTTTGAAGCCAGACTGGTAACAAAGTCCATGAGGCTCTTATTATCAATTAACTAGCAAAAAGCTGGACGTGGAGCAGTGGCTCAAGTGTTTAGAGTACCATTTAGCCTTGAGTGGGAAAAACTATGGTACAATGCAAAGGCCCTGAGTTCAAGCCCTAGTACTAGCGTGCACGCATGCGCGTGCTCTCGTGCGCGCGCTCTCTCTCTCTCTTTCTCTCTCTCTCTCTCACACACACATCAGCTTTAGAAAAGTTGAAGAAAAGATACCACTTCAGTGATTTAATTATCTCAATCACCCCACCCCTCTATACAATTCCTGAATTACCTGTGGCTCCAGCTGCTGTTGCCTTCTGTGTTTCTTAGCTGGCAGAGGTGGAGGTGTGTCATTTAAAGGGAAAGGATCAGATGTAGTCATGACTTCAGGCCAAAAGGCTGATGGAGGTTGAGTGATAGTATGAGGAGAAAGAGTAGAAGGAAACACAAATCCAGAATAGACAGGTGATCTTTGCTTTATAGGAGAAAGAAAAAGTATAGATATGTGTCCATATAGAATGAAAGGATAAGGCAAAGAAATGAAATTTACAATCAAATTGTTTTCTTTTTTTTTGCTGTTGTTGTTATATGCTAACCAAAAAGTCAAAGTTGATAGGCAATATCTTTTCCTTTAGCCACTTACTAAACTCTACACTTGGATGGGTATAAGGTATTTCATTTATTATTAATGGCCACCCCCAAGAACGCTTCCAAAAAGCAGAAGATTCAGAAATAACTGAATGGCAAAACAAAATAGAAAACAAAATCAAGCTGGAAAGGTGATTCAAACCAATGATTTTAGAAATATTTTTTTTAATTTTAAGAAAATAGGTCAGGTTAGAGTGCTAAAGCATTGAGCTCATGTGCTTGAAGTTATTTCCATCCTTCCCCTCTCTATCATAACGACGTATATAAATACAATTTCATGGTGTCTGGCAAAATTGGTATGCTTTAGAAACTCAGCATCATTTTGCCAAACAGACAGCTGGCTGTCACACACCATCATTTTGCTTATTTTCGGCAAACAGTGGGTTAATTGTTGACATGAAGAAAAGCAGTGAATGAATGAATGAAATGTCATGCCCACACACCTCTGGAGTCTGGGGCTGGCTCCCCGGCACAGCTGAGGCAGGCTCAGTGACAGCAGCATCAGCGTCAGCATCAGCAGAGAACTGAGTGGAAGGGGACAGACTCGTGGAATGGCCACAGGGCTCATTAATTTCACTTACACTGAGATAGCCCTAAAAGGAGGAATTGAGAAGTTAACACAAAGAAAGCAAAAGCCGAGGCATGCGAGAGTATTAATGCTCTCAGTACAATGGAGTTAGCTGACAGGGGCGTAGCCAAGATACCTGGGGATTTCCAAAGGCTTCATTAAAGGAATGATCAGTAATTAAAATGGATGTACAATGTGGAATCTTGAAAGAAAATGATATTATCAATATTAAATGTAATTTGTTTTGGTAAAATCAAGATGATTCTGTGATCAATAACACAACACCTGCTACTTAAAAATAATTAGAGATATTCAGGGTCGTTCTGTGGAAGGAATGAAGTTGTCACAGTACATACATTGAAATCAACCATACACCAAGAAAATTGGAGGAATAAACTTGAGAATGCAGCAATTCCATTCAAGAACTTTCTCTACAGATCTTTACCCTTAGATTTTTCTTCTTTTGTTTGCTGATGAATTACCATGTCAGTAAAAATAAGCTAAGAGGTGCTGGGTTTTGCACCAAAAAATATTTATACAACAATAATTTATTTGGAGTAGAATTTAGCTTTTGAGCATCTGCATCTCAACCATCTGAGAATAAAAAGGGCACTGTCTTAACATACTCAGACAGGCAGACACACAAACACATACATACATATATACAGACACACACACACACACACACACACACACACACACACACACAGCCCTAAAATGTAACTGACGGCTGTTTCAATTCAAAGCAGTTGCCCAACTCCAAATTCTTCCCCTGGGACAGAGAATACCTATTTGTCTTTGAACTCAATAATTCAGTTCTAGCTGTGGATTAGAGAAAATATCAGTAAATCACAATCTCTATGAATCAAAACACCTATATTTTTTATTTGTGGAAAAAGCACTTAGGAGTTTTCATAGGCAGCAATTATATAGATGAATCATGATTTTTGCCACACCACCAACAAAATGATATGAAAAAAAGTAATAAAATGCAAAAAATGAATATTCTTTTTTTAAAAAGTAAAACAGTGAAATCTGCCTTTGGGTTTCATTATTAGCTCACTGATGGTGGACATATCATTAATCCTATCAAAAAAAAATCACTGTGGCTTTCTGACTTGGGCCTGCCAGAATGGCTCCCGCAAAGAAGGGTGAGAAGAAGAAGAGCCATTCCTCCATCAACGAGGTGGTGACCCAAGAATGTACCAACAGCATTCACAAATGCATCCATCGAGTGGGCTTTAAGAAGTGTGCTCCTCATGCTCTCAAAGATTTGGAAGTTTGCCATGAAGGAGATGGGGACTCCTGCACATCGATACCAGGCTCAACAAAGCTGTCTGGGCCAAAGGAATAAGGAATGTCTCCTATCGGATGTACATGCAGTTATCTAGAAAATGCAAGGAGGATGAAGGCTCACCAAACAAGCTGGTTACTCTGGTAACCGCATTCAAAAGTCTACAGTCAATGTGGATGAGAACTAACTAGTGAGTGTCCAATAAAGCTATAAAATTGCTTTTTTTTGAACAAAAGTGACTACGGCTAGGGATAATGGCTCATACTTATAATCCTAGCCATTCAGAAAGGCACAGATCAGGAAGATTGAGGTTCAAGGCCAGCCTAGTGAAAAACTTCCCAAGATCCTATTTCAACCAGGTATGGTGATACACACCTGCACCTATGCAGAAAATGTAAATAGGAGGATCTTCGTTGCATCCACTAGCCTAGACATAATGAAAGCAAGAAGAGCTGGGGCATGGCTCAAGTGGTAAAGCACTTGCCTGGCAAGAGCAAAACCCTGGTTTAAAACCTAGGACTGACACAGTGGTATGATATGTTGAAGTCAAAACTTAAGTCTGAGCTGGGGGCCAGTGGCTTACATCTGTAATCCTAGCTGCTCAGGAGGCTGAGAACTGAGGATCATAGTTCAAAGCCAGCCCTGGAAGGAAAGTCTTTGTGACTCTTATCTCCACTTAACCACCAGAAGATTGCAAGTGCAGCTGTGGCTTCAGTGGTAGTGCTCCAGCCTTCAACAATAAAGCTTAGGGACAGTGCATCAGACCCGAGTTTAAGCCCCAGTATTGACACAAAACGGGGGAAAATAAATAAATAAATAAAAAGAAAGAGAAGATTTTTATCCTGTCAAGAGAGGAAGGGGGGCAGGCCCTGGTGGCTCACTCTGGTAACTACTCAGAAGGCTGAGATCTGAGGATTGAGGTTCAAAGACAGCCGAGGCAAGAAAGTCCGTGAGACTCTTATCTCCAATAAACCACCAGAAAACCAGAAGTGGTGCTGTGGCTCAAGTGGTAGAGCATTTGCCTTGAGCTGAAGAGCTGAGGGACAGTGCCTAGGCCCAGAGTTCAAACCCCATGATCGAAAAAAAAAAAAAAAGAGAGAGAGAGAAAGAGGGGGGGAGGGACTGAAAGCCTCTCTAATTCCAATGCCACATCTTCCCTCTTATGCCCAGATGCATAGCTTCCCTCTTCAGTCTGTCCTATCCCTCAGTCTTCTTGACCTCAGAAAACAGTACTTGCCATCCACTCTTTCTTCAAATGATGTCATTGGTCTTGATATTTCCTTTATATTACTCTATCCCCACATCCAATCTATTAGTGGGAACTTTTGATTTTTGCTTCTAAAATGTCAAAAACCTATGAATCCAATTGATTCTACCCCCATTTCTTTGTGAGGTTCTACAGCCTCATACCTCCTGCCTACATGATTGCAATCATCTCCATACATGGTTTCCTGGATCTTCTTGTACACCTCTGATCCAGTATTCACTAAGTGTCCACAGTGATCCTCACTGTATGGGTACCTAGTGTCATCTTCCTATTTAGAATGACTTCATGGTGTCCTATCACATAGAGGAGAAAATGCATTTTGTTAATATGGCTTATTAGAGCCTGTTCCCTACCTACCTTGGTGACATTATCTTGTGCTACTACAGTACAGTCACAATCAACCTTTGTTTACTAAACCTGCCATTTCCATGTTCTCAGCAGTAGAGAGAAACTCTGAGATTGAATAAGCTAGCAAAGTTCTCAGCAGGTGCAGGTGCCTCACTTCTGTAATCTTTGCTGAGATCTAAGGACTGAGGTTCAAAGCCAGCCCACTGTAGACAGATCTAATAAATTCTCATATCTAATAAACCAGTAAAATGCCAAGAGTGTATGTTTGGCTTCGGCAGTAGAGCACCCACCTTGATTAAAAAAGCTAAGCGAGAGCTCAGGGCCCTGACTTCATGCCCTCATATGGACACACATACAAATGCTTCTCAGGAGCACATTTAGATAACAAGACCTATTATTGCAGTGAACATTTTATTTATTTTATTTTCACATAGCTACAAGCAAACCAAAAAAACCCCAAAACCTTTGCTGTGTAGGAATTTCTGACTCCCTTGTCCTTTCATAAGCAATTTGCATAGAAGAGTGGTTCTTCTACTTGTGCAATTTTTATGCAGAAGCTTTCTCCTTAGCATATAAATATAAAGAAGCAAAAATACAAGGAAAATTGTTTCTTTTATCATTCAGCATTATAAATTTTACAAATCAGAGTTTATACATTCTATCTGCATAGCAGTGTAGCTCTGCCAAAGGATATTTGAAAAGGTGGCACTGGAGACTAGATGGACAGAGTCCATAGTGCTTGGTGGAGACAGGATCTCCCAAATAAGAGAAGCGTTGGCAGACAGAGTATTGAGAGTCCAAAAAGAGAGAACGAAAAGAAATAATAGACTATCGTTCCCAATGCTTGGGGGTATATAACGTTCTATAAAACTCAGAAGAAAGAGTAGGAAAGTAAAAAAAAATAAATAAAGAGAAAGCACCTACATTTTGTGAAACTCTAACTACTTCGCAATGTCACTGCCAAGCAATCTAATTGCATTTATACATGGATGCGTGCACACGTGTACATACACATACATACATACACATGCATTATACAAAGATAATCCCTGGACTCCTCTCCAAGCATAAATAATGAAGTATAGGAAATCAGTAAAAGCATTGAGTGCTTTCATAAATCATTAAGTTACTGTGAGATGAGTGGTTATGTGAAATCATGGCTTACCTCTTTTAGAGTATTGGGGTTAACAGGAAACCCTTTTCCCCCAGAGAGGATGGTATATTTCTTTTCCAAATTACAAAGATTCTCCTTTTCCTGAAGGAAGATAGAATCTATTAAACTTGGAGAAAACCTTGGATATAATTAAGTACAATGACAGAATGAGAGATAAACCAAACCCCACAAATCGACTCATTTCCACATTTTCTCCTCATTCTTAGCAACAACTTGATATTGTATGTGTCTCATCTCTACTGGCTGATGTGATGCCTGAGTTGTTCTCAAGTATATTTACCTAGATAATGTTTCATTCAAGATCAATTTTGCAAGTGATGACATAAGTGCACAGGGTGAGTGCTCTAATTGGAGCAAAAAATGGAGGGAGTCGTAGCATCTCTTTTTGATGGAGCTTTTACAGCCCTCATTTAAAAAAAAAAGATCTTTAAGTAGTTGTACAAAGGGGTTTCAATTCCACATATCAGTTTATGAGTACAGTGTATTTTGATCAATGTCATGCCTTCCATCACTCTCCCCTGTCTCTCCAACCCCACCCACACTCTCGAGTTACTTGGTTCCACTTTCATGTGTGTACATTAAATATTATGACTATATTTGCCCATTCTTTCTCTTTCCATTTGTCTGCCTCCCCTCCTTCACCTTCCACCACTCCCCCAAACACATATTTCAACTTCTAGATACTCATTTTGTTAAGCTATATATTAGTTGTTCAAAGGAGTTACACCCATGGGAATCTTCCCCTGAATATACCAGATAAATCTTTTTGAAAATAATTCTCCTAAGTAAGATACTGAGCTTTATAGTGATATACTATCACAATCCACTGTTCTATTTTCTTCAAAGAATTGTATGGTATTAACTTTTATGTTTGGGTCTAAGATCTACATAATTTGCTAATAACTTTTAGGAAAAAAGTTATGGATCATATTGCTTATTGTGGTGTAATTCACAAACAGTGAATGCAAATATCTTTAAAATATTACTTGATGGCTTTTTAAAAAAAGTCATCAGCAAGCTTCTAGAGCTTATCAATAATTTTGGCAAAGTAGCAGGATATACAATCAACACAGAAAAATCAGTAGCCTTTCTGTAAAACAACTCCATTTGCAATAGCCTCAAAGAAAATTGAGAATAAACCTAACCAAGAAAGTAAAAGACTTTTATAGTGGAAACTATAAAAATTTGAAGAGTTAGAAGACAACATCAGGAAATAGACCTCCCATGTTCATGGATAGATAGAATTAATATTGTGAAAATGGCCTCTTTTTTAACCTAAAAGTAGCTATTAAAGAAATGCTCATTTCTTACAAATGGGACCATGGAATAACCTCCTCCTTTAATCCTTCATTCTGGATTTGATCTTCCTGCTGCACACTACTCTCACTCTATCAGACATTTCCACAATCCCAGGTATCATATTTCTAGGTTAGTGGCCAGTATACAGAGCTCCGACCTTAAGACTTACCCCATCGACTTTGATGTGTGATATCTTATTCCTGAAATTGCATTAGGGACCATGCCAGAAAGCTGAGCTAAGAGTTGCTTTTTATTGGCCAAAGGTCTCTCTTTTCCTATTTAGTCCTTTTACTAAGATAGGTCCCTGAGGTAAGGATGATTTATTTAGCGATGACAAAGTCTAATTCCAACATGACGTTTTCCAGGAAGATCCACATTCATATAATTGGAATTCAAAACACTGGGGCAGCTGAGTCAACATATGTGACAGCAGTGAAAAAAAAAGTTTATGTTTTTAATGGGTTTCATACAGGCAAATAATGTACTTCAACTACTAAAAAAGGGAAAGTAAGTTGGGTGCTGGAGGCTCATGTCTGTACTCAGAGAGGCTACTCAGGAGGCTGAGATCTGAGAACTGTGAGTCAAAGAATCTTATCTCCAATTAAGCCCCCGAAGTGGAGCTGTGGCTCAAGCATCAGAAAATGAGCCTTGAGCAAGGAAAAGCTCAAGGACAGTGCCCAGGTCCTGAGTTCAGCTCTAGGATCTACATCAAAAAAAAAAAAAAAAGGAAAATTTAAAAAGTAGCAGAGGGAGTAGATATATACATTATTTAGGAATATACAGGTATGAAAATATTACAATGAAACTCCTTTATACAATTAATATGCACGAATAAAATTTTACATTTTTCCTTAAAACTACCCAAAATTGGTGTTATTAAAGTTTATCTTTCTGATGAAAGATGTGATTCCTTTAAAAGAGGTAAATAAAAGAAAGTACAGGGCTGGGAAGGTGGCTCAGTGGTAGAGCGCTTGCCTTGCATGCCTGAGGCCCTGGGTTCAATTCCTCAGCACCACATAAGCAAAAAGAAAAGAGCCGGAAGTGGCACTGTGGCTCAAGTGGTAGAGCGCTAGCCTTGAGCTGAAGAGCTGAGGGACAGGCCCAGGCCCCAGAGTTCAGGCCCCATGACCGGACCCAAAAAAAAAAAAAAAAAAAGAAAAGAAAAAAAGAAAGTACAAATTTGCAATAGTTGAGATTTTCACAATGTAAAGCAAGCACTAAGAAAAAATCCTTGCTGTTTTTCTGAATTGTGGTTAATCTTTCAGTGCATCAAGTTATTAAAGTGAAAGATTAGGCAGAAATGTACACAAAAGTCTCCTTTTGTTGCCTGGTAACCAGTACTGAATGGGAAATACTTACTCTTTGTAGCATCATTATTAGATTATTCTTTTCTTTCACAAAATGATCTTGTTCTTTCTGAGCTTGCTGAACAATATGGTTGGCTTGCTTTTTCAATGCAGAAATTTTTTCCTGGAAGGAAAAATGGTGATTATAGAAAGATGCATATTAGACATTAGGTTAGCTGTTCTGTTCTGGGCAAGACTGTAAAGATTTTGACAATTGTAATAACAGTACCCACATTTTAGCTGGAGGTGGGCAGTTATATTACCCAGAGATGATGAAGTTTCTCACCTCACTTCTTTCCTCTAGTCCAATACAGTTCAAGTGATTTAAAGTCTATTTTCAAAAATATGGTTTCCCTTATTTGCAATATCTAGTATATGTATGAGTCAAGCAGAAAAGGTCAGATAAAGTGATGTTAGGAAAATGAACCTTAAGATATGTATTTAAATGTTTTTTTTTCTTTCATGTATTTGTTTCTAACGCATTTATAAGATTATTTCTTAGTTGCTTTGTATGTCCCTCCCCCACAGTATAACCCCTGCTTTCACTGTATTTGATGTCGGTATAATTTGTGGAGGGGAAGGGGAAAAACAAGTCATTTAAATAAGGATACAGGTGGACCCGTTGCAACAATGAGAAGTACAAGTTGTCATGTCGAAAACCAACTCTACAACTTTGGTGGGGGGCAGGGGGGAAGGGTGGGGTGGGGAGGCGGAGGGAGGCTGGGAAGGGATGGGAAGGGGAAACAAAGGAGGAGGCTACAATGCTTGATAAGAAATGTACTCATTATCTTGCCCATGTAATTGTAACCCCTCTGTACAGTATTTTCACAATAAAAAATAAATTAAAAAAAAGTTCAGAAGTCAAGAGGAAGTCTGCTAGGAAAATGACAAGCACACAATACGTGGTTTCCTTCTCCCAATTTTACCCCTCAATTTTATCCTTAAGTCTTATCAAGGTTAACAGAAACTTTTAGAGTATGATGAGATGATAGCAGAAAACTCCAACATAAACTTTCTTCAAAGAATTATCTGGCGTCTCCTTAATGTGATTGCAAAAGTGAGTGACTTTAACATATTTATGTTCATCAACAGAATATGTAACAGTGATTGCAACACGTCTCAGCTTATCTGCTTCAGAGAATGAGTCTCTGAAAGGAAGGCGGTATAATCTGCCAAATTTGATGCAATTAAATACACAAAGATACTCAGATGCTCACACACAGCTATCAGATAGATATTATGTTACACTAAGAAGTTTATTTGTTTATCTATTTATTGTTGGCCCGCAGGGCTTGATCTCAGGGCCCGGGCTCCGGCTCGGTCCATGAGCTCTTTTGCTCAAGGCTAGTGCTGCACCACTTTGAGCCACAGCTCCAAGGCTACTTTTCTGGTGCTAAATTGGACATAAGATTCTCACAGACTTCCCTGCCCTAGGCTGTATTTGACCCGTGATCCTCAGATCTCAGCCTCCTGAGTAGCTAGGATTAGAGGCACCATCCACCAGTGCTTAGCTGGGTTTAACTTTTTACATTAAATACCATCCAGCAGTAAAGTACCTTTCTGGTGACAATGTTCCGTTGATATTCAGCTACTTCACGCAGGAGCTGCTGAGTTAAGTTTTCCTTCTCCTCATCTAGACGGCTCTCGTGCTCGAGCTGCTGGAATTCCAGGTCTTCAAAGTGTTTGCTTTCAACATCCAACAGATCAGCATCCTGTAGACAAAAGAGAATAAACAGGAGACACGCCAGGATGGCTGCAATGTTCTTAATGTGAAGAAAGAATTATGAAAGCAGTTGGTCCAAGAAAGATTATCGGTTACAACCCTAAGTAGGGTGAGATCTTGACAATCTTCTTTTGGAGATAAACCCCAGGGCCGTACCTGCTCCAGTGGAATTGAAAGAAGTATAGTGGAGAGGACAGCATTCTTTTCATGATCGTTGATTCTCGTTTTTAATCTACTAAGTGGCTTTAATGTAGGTATCAAAGAATAAAAACTCAGCAAGCAATCTAAATGGTATCTGCAGACTAAAGGCAAGATACAGTTTCCTAAGAGAAAATCCTTCTTTCAGACAATGAACTATGAAATGAGACTTTGTGAAATATGAAGGGAAACTGTAGTATATAGATAATAAAGTTCCAAAAGTTTGCACATACATACACACACAGTGAAAGATCAGAGGTCTATAAAGGGGATTTATGTACCCCAAATGGCATATAGCACAATTCATTAGGATGTAAAGAGAAAATTATGACTTTATATTTGTTTAGTTTTTTTCTCAATTTTTCTTCCCTCTCTCTTTTCCTCCCTTCCTCTCCTTTTTACCTTCCTTTCTACCTTTCTCTTCTTCAATACAGGGTCTCCTAGCTGACTTCATGATCCTCCATACTTTCACCTCCTGAAAATTTGGTTTAAAGGTATGTACCACTACAGCATACATCAGCCCAATCTCCTGATAATGTTTCCAGCATACAAACCAGTAAAGTAACATATTACATAATTTTAAATATATTCTTTGGGCATTCATGAAATAACATATATATATTATATAATATATTATATATATAATTTTCTTGAAAGGGAAGCATTTAGACATGGACTTTGGGTAATGGTGTATCTTAATAGGTTTGATAGCTGTACCCAGTGTACCACTCTATTGGAGTCATTAAGAATGGGGGAGACTATTTATGTACGGGGCAGGAAGTATATTGAAAGTTTCTATATATTTGATCAATTTTGCAATAAACATGAAACTGCTCTAAAAAATAAGACCTACTTTAAGATCATTTGTAGATTGTGGTTTTTAAACTGGGCCTACATGAATCCTTCGCAATTATTTAGAAGTCTTTTTTTTTTTTGCCATTCCTGGGGCTTGAACTCAGGGCCTGGGCACTGTCTTTGAGCCTCTTTTTGGTCAAGGCTAATGTTCTACAACTTGAGCCATAGCACCACTTCTGGCTTTTTCCGTTTATGTGGTACTGAGGAATTGAATCTGGAGCTTCATGCATACTAGGCAAGCATGCTACTATTGAGCCACATTCTCAGTTGATTTAGAATTCTTTTTACTGCAAAGAGTAGAGCCAATGGTTTGGCAGATAAAGGGTAAACAAAAGTTAAGCAGCATTACTCTGAGAGGACATTTAAGGAAGGTCAGACACATGAAAATGAAGTTCTAGAGCAGACATTCTCCAACCCTGGGCCCCATTTAAATCTGAGACAATTGGAAACAGGATTGTAGTTGTACATATGCATTGTGCAGGGTTAGGTGCATGCTGCATGAATTATTCTTCAATTTTCTCTTTCTGAAAAGAACTCTTTAATTTTGGAGCCTCTAACAGAATTATAAATGTGGTATGTGTAGAAGGCTTTTAAAAAACTTGGGAATTATAAATAATCTATGGCCAAAAGGAAGAGGTAGCTAGGGAATATAGATAACAGCTCTTCATGGAAGAAATAATCTGTGCACTTTTGTGGTTGTTGTTCAATTAAATCCTCAAAGAGAGTGGAAAAACTGTTATATAAGTCCTGTAGCATTATTTAACCCTAGCTTCTTCCAGTTTTTATTCAATGTTAATATGAGGCTCTTAATCAAGTGGAATATTTTTCTATCTTCTTCAATGAATTTCTTCTAAGAGTGACTCATAGAGGAGTTATTAGCTACCATGAAATTACTATAGCAACAAGCTATTATGAGAACAGGATTCTCAAGGTTGAAGAGAAGGAAAACAGGGTTGGAAACACGTATTCAAGGTCAGGCATCAGTGGCTGTAATCACAACACTTAGGAGACTGAGGTACAAGGATTGTGAGCAGCCTGGGCTACATGGTAAGACTCTATCAGAAAAAAACAAACCAACAAATGACAAATTTTTTTTCTAACACCTCTTAAAAAACTTCTTTATACTTTATTTGGCCAAAAGGACTAAGAATGTTTTGTTGTTTTAGCTTTCGTTTTGAGACTGTCTGAAACACACACACACGCGCGCGCGCGCGCACACACACACACACACACACACACACACACACACACACACATACTAGACAAACCCAAATAAGAACCCAGGCTGTCTTAGTCCAGCCTCACGAATATTGAGATTATAGGATTACACGTATGCAATACCACACTTACACCTAGCAAGAATGTGGTTTGATTCCGAGTATTCGGCTGATATTTCCAATATATCAAGAAATGTCCAGTTTTTAAGTTTGTAATTCCTAAAAGAATTGATTAATTAAAGTGATTGTGGAAATAAGAGATAAGTCAAATATTGTATCTTGAAACAAATTATTTTCGGTCTTCAAATACTGCACTGGTTGATACATTTAATAATATGGGTACACTCACTCTAGGGTTCAAGGTCTTCCAAACAAGCCTCATTGGTGGTTAAAGATACCGAGAATAAAAAATAAAATTAAAGACTTTTTTTTTGCTTCCAAACTATCTTCATTCAAAATGCATCTTTGGGTCACAGTATGCAGTAGGTTAGCCAGTTCCCTACACCACATCTGGTTAATATACAACACATACTATTTTAACCCTGTACAAGGCCTAGAGTCACTCATTTCTTTGTAGCTAATATTTAAACTTCTGCCTGCAAACAATAGTATACTAGTGAAGAAAACTGAAAATAAAGCTAAGCTCCACACTCAGATTGCAGAGGGAAAACCATCTGGTCAAGTCTTCTAAGTCATTAAAAATGTGGGCATAATAAACCCTGGAAGATAAAAAGTGTTTGAAATGGGGAGAAAATCTTTTAAAAGATTTTAGATTTTTTTTGTTTTGTAGCTTCCTTATAATCATTTTTTTTTAAAGCACAGAATTTCCAGAGAATTGTGATATCAAGGGAAAGCCAGTTTTATCTTACAGAAGATTATACTTTTCACAGTAAAACACAAAAAGGAGAAAGTGCCTTTATTAAACAGTCTGATTCAATATTATAAGTAACGAGACTGCAGTTGTCATGTTGAAGTGTGACCTGTCTTCCCTGAGTTGTCTTTATTGAGATGGAGTCAACCTTTGCAACACAAGGGCTAGCTGAACTATAATTTCCCATTATCTAATGATGTCTTCAGAAGTATTAAATGCTATTGTATTAAAGATCATGTATAAAAATGTGTGTGTAAAAACTGATTTTTCACCTTACTCATTCTCACGGGGATAACAAGCAAGACATGAATGAAACTAACTTCCTTTTCTATTCATGTGAAATCACAGATCGTTACTTAGGATAAATGACTATTCCATAACTTTTTTTAGAGGTACAAGATGGTTAATGCCTGCTTTCCCAGGATCACAGTTGATTTGGACTGCCCATGGGGGAAGATGACACAGTGATCACAAGTCTATAAAAGGTAATGCCAGGAAATTCTCTTTTCAGAAGACAACCATCACAGTTGTATTAAACGCTAATATCAATAAAGACAAAACAACTTTATAATGTTAGCTAAAAGGCAAATGCTTCAGTAAGTTTGTAAAACTTAAGAAGCTCCTATGAAAAGATGTCAAAGTCATTTCTAATGTCTGCCTCTTGTACCTTGGTGTGTGTGTGTGTGTGTGTGTGTGTGTGTGTGTGTGTGTGTGTGTACACACATGTGTGCTAGTATGGGGGCTTGAACTCAGGGCCTCATGTTCTCAGTTGGCTTTTTCATTCAAGGCTGTCCTTCTAACATATGAGCCACACTTCTATGTCTAGCTTTTTGCTGGTTAAGTGGAGATAAGAGTCTCATGGAGGGGCTGGGAAGGTGGCTCAGTGGTAGAGTGCCAGGGCCTTGCATGCATGAGGCCCTGGGTTCAATTCCTCAGCACCACATAAGCAGAAAAAGCTGGAAGTGGTGCTGTGGCTCAAGTGGTAGAGCACTAGCCTTGAGCTGAAGAGCTGAGGGACAGTGCCCAGGCCCAGAGTTCAGGCACCATGACTGGCAAAAAAAAAAAAAAAAGAGTCTGATGGATTTGTTTTGCTTAGGCTGGCTTCAAACTGCGATCTTCGAGATCTTAGCTTTCTGAGGTAGCTAGGATTACAGGCATGAGTCAATAGCCTGGGCTTGAACCTTGGTATGTGTGCATGACTGCTACCACACTAATGAGCTCTATGCCAGGTAGGAGCAGAAAGAAAGGAAAAAAACCAGTGCATAAGGGTAGCGAGCATACCAGAGAACAGGGTAATTTTTAGACAGGAGTACAAAATCAAGCTAAGTAAAGACAATGAAGGACAAACAGTACTCATAATATAGCCCAGAATACAGAGAAGACATCAGTTGAATTAAATGTTACAAGTTAGGAGCAATCTCTCCTTAATTACAAAGAATGACTGCAGAAATGCTTTGCATTTGAAATTAAGTGAATTCTAACAAGAAATTAATGGGTTAGCATGGACTAATATACACTGTTAGCATGTATATTTCTATTTTAAAGTATCTAATTATCAGAAGTTACGCAAATTTATGCTATGTCGAAAGCAAAGGTCATAGGTAAGTGGAACTTAATCGGGAGAGGAGGGGTGGCAGAAAGAAAAACAACTGTTGCATTCCTGTTTGCTACTGACCCTCTTCAGTTGTTGTTGTAACTGTTCCCTCATGGACTCAGGACAATTGTCCAGCTGGGTCTTCTGCTCGGAGTAAAGCTCCTGAAGCCTCTCTAGTTTTTCCCTTTCAGCATCAAGCTTTACCTTCTCCTGAAGTTCAGAAATCAGAAAATAGAAGAATAGAAATTATCTTCACAGCCCAAGCAGTTGTGAGTGAACATTTTCCAATGGTAACAAAAACAAACACCAACTCTAGATCTCTATGAATGAACAAACATAGCATGTTAGTGACTACAATAAAGAGACACAAGTTGAAGTTAAGCCAAGGAGCTCAGATCCTTCATTCTTAAATCATGGTCCTTTTCACTGGATATTGACCACCATCGCCCTCCCTTCCTTCCTTCCTTCCTTCCTTCCTTCCTTCCCTCCCTCCTTCCTGCCACCATGTTATAACCAAGGGGAGGCAACTGAAAGATCGGATATTGGTCAGTGGCCAACAAAGAACAAAAGAAATGCCAACCACATTCCAAGCTACCTTGTGAAGAGTGACTTTGTCAGAGAACTTGACAAAGGAAAGGAGCCACTTATTTATAACCTTGAAGTACTGTTATGGTCTAATTCACTCAAGGCATTTGCTATGCAATTTTTGGAAATGATTGCAATTTGTTTAAAGATAAGATGTGCTCTAAGTCATTGGTTGATATCTTGGTCATCTGAAATAGTTCTTGTTATTTGCAAAGCTTCAGAGCTCAAGTAACTAGAAAACATAATTCAAGGAAGAACATCTAATTCAGGTGCCAAAACAGCTGCTTATTACAAATGCAAGATTGCAAACATAGTCAAGGAGAGGAGAATGAGGCAGCTTAGCCACACTAAGCTAAAACATTTACCGGAAGCAGAGATTACTTAACAATGAATGACAACAAAACAAAACAAAAAATCCAACAACACACACACAACAACAAAATAAAACTCCACCAGATAGACTATGAAATAAAGTACCCATAAGCCAGAAAAAGAAAGAAAGAAGATGACACTAAATCCCTCCAAGTCACACATGCCAAAGTGATGCTACATGGTCTTCAGGAAAATAAATACTATATGCAATGATTATATGGCTTTACAATGTCACCTCCTAAATTCAGAAACAAGGTTTCAATTCATTTAGTATTAGGATTCTCAACTGGAGTTTCTTTTATGATGGTATGAACATGTGTAAAAACCTTGAGGTGAGATTATCTGTGAGCGTGTGATACTTTCAGTCTAAAGCAAAACATTTTATGAAGCAGTGCAATGGAATGACACTCAGTAAGCAAAACTTCCCGTAAGTTCAAACTGGCAAAAATGCAACCAGCCTCCAAACCTACCATATAGACATTTATTTTTAAAGGATGAAACTGTTAAACAATCCTATTACACTATCCCTACTGTAATTTCTTTTTATCAATGGCCAAACTTTCCTATATAAATATATATATTTAGGCTCTTAACAAAAAGTGTATGGCTTAAACTTAAAACTATATGACATCCATACTGCTGCCAATCTACTGCTATCTCCATTCTTTAAATTTAAATTTTAGATTGCAAGGTTCTTCTAGAAACATGTCTTTAGTTGTAGAAATACATGTTTCCTCAAAATAGTTAAAAGAAGAAATCATAAGCTTGAGAATCCTACTGTACTTATCAATCTAAAATGATTCTATAACAAATCTTAGCGGCTCGTGGAAGAGTTTCTTCTCCAACAATAAGTTTTGTCACTCATTACAGTTATTGAGTAGAAGTCAAAAAAAGGAATGCAGTAATTTGCAGAGAAAAGGATTCTGGAGGGGTAAGCCACGGTAAAGCTGAGTAAAGTGGTCATCTAGACTTAGTCTTTAGTTTCAGAATTAATATTTTCCCTTAAGAAAACCATCAGTATTCAATGCCTGTTGATTTTCAGCTATGAAAATATTATTTTCTATGTGTGTGGGGTCAAATGTTACCCAATTTGCACAGCAATTCTTTCATTCTCTCTCTAGATACTCTATCACTAGACTTTGTAACAACTCTAGTTTCAAATAAACATTTAAAAAGCAAACAATACAAGTCATCAGAATTAAATATCACATGAGCAAAGCCTTAAAACCGAATGTTATGTTTAACAGAAAACATCAATATAATATTACATAATATGGAAAGCCACTGTCCTGAAACAAAGATCTCAAATCTGGAGAAACTGCCAAACTATTGTGCTGGTGCTTTTAAATTTTTTAAAAATCATTCCTTAAAAAAAAAACTAAAAAAAGTACAAAATACCTTATGTTTGCATAGTGCCTTCCTTCTGAGGCCCTGAAAGCATTTCACAATTCCATACAAGGGGGCAGTTAGAAGAATTATGCAAGCTGGCACCATTAGAACCTTCGCCACAGTTTATCAGTAATGCACTGACCACTACCTGAGTCTCAGAGCTCAAGCTCAGTGAGGCCAAAGCTAGGGCAAAGGAAGTGAGAAGAGAGAGGATAAAAGGAGGATTAGTAGCCGGTGGGGTCTGTCATAAATCACAGAGGACTATGGGGCTGATCACACTCCTGTGAGAGCCAGAAATGGATCAACTTTGAGCCAGAAAGAAATGAATACTCTTGTCTCCTACTTATAGCTCAGGAAGTTTTTGAATGAAAATTAGCCCAAGCCATGCATTTCATTTGAGCTGAAAGTATCATCCTTTACACTGAAGATGAAATTGATGGACAAATTAGATGAAACTGTGGCTCAGGTGGCATAGTACTCACCTTGAGTGAAAAAGCTAAACAGCAGCTCCCAGGTCCTGAGGGTCAAGATCTGGTACTGGTATAATAATTAATAATTCATTAAGGCCTACCAGTTTTCTATCTTCTTAGTTATATTCTTGAAGGAAAAACTGAAATTTAATTTGTCATATCTACTTGAACTTAACACTATACAAAAATACCTTGAATACTAATGAAAATATCATCTTACCAGATATCAGAATGCAATATTCAGCAAAAAGATGGTTTAATGTTGGTTGTGCCAGTGACTCTTGCCTGTAATCTTTGCTACTCCGGAGGCTGAGATCTGAGGACTATAGCTTGAAGCAGGAGAGTCTGTGATATTCTGATTTCTAATCAACCATTAAAAAGCCAGAAGTGGAGCTGTAGAATTCTAGCCTTGAGCATAAAAGCTCAGGGACAGCACACAAGCTCAAGTTCCAGGATGGGCATACACACGGACACAGACACATAGACACACACACACACACACACACACACACACACACACACACACAGACCCCCCACACACATGCATGCATGTGTGTGCGCACGGGAACACACTAAAGGACACTATGGTTTAATCCTGAAAAACATGCTTAACTTGTTAGCTTGTTGAGACACCAGTTTAATAAAGAACATCAGTTGAATTTGTATTTTGACTGAGTAGTAAATGATCATTTACTATAAGTAAGTTGGGGACATAAATACAATTAAACACTTACTCTCTTTATCTGAATTCAAATGTATCTAAGGTTCTTGTGCTTTTATTTGCTAATTCTGGCAATCCCATTGGGCCATACACCACTAATCTCTGGCTCAGGTTTGGAACGGATACAGTAATAATGTTAAAACTTGTCTATAACTCACCATTTCTAGGGGTGGCCCGCCCAAAGTGGTTTCTTTCTAGTTCCTAAAAATCACAGTGTTTTGGAGTAAAGCATCTTCATGAGTTCATAGGTTAGTCAACTTTTCAGACCTATAATTATTTATCTGAATTTTTTTAAGCTGGTGGAGATTGAACCCAGAGCCTCAGGCTTACTGGGCAGGCACTCTACCACTTGAGCTATACCCCTGTCCCTGCAATTCTTCTGCCAACAGCTTGAGACACAGAAACTGTACATTTAATGTATTCACCTTGATGATTTTGAACACATGCATATTCTATTATACTACTTAAAGCCAGAAGTATTTGAGATTTCAGAATGTTTTGAATTTTATACAAATAGCACATATATGGCATTTCTAGTAAGGTCTGGGTAATATCTTCTAATAAAAAATGCTGTGATTTCTGTAGTTATACTTATGAATATTTAGCTTTACAAAGGATATTTTCTTTCCCAGAATACTTTTCAGATTTTAGAGCCATAAAAGAAAGATTAAAGTCATGTGTTAACTAAGAGTGACTATGGAGAACTTTGTGTTTTCTTTTGGCTCTGATATTTTAACTACACAATCAATGAGTCCTTAGTATATAATGAATTGGCAAATCAGAACACCGAGGACTAATATATAATAATAACACGTGGAATCCTACAATTTAATCCCCAGATTCCACAATGCAGTTCAACTTCCTTGAGCCAGGGAGCTAGCTTTGTAATGTAAGAAAGAGACATGGGAAGGGCTAGGTCTCATCTGAACCTTGTCTGTGACCTGGCAAAGTCTATACTTGGGAGGCATTAACACTTTTGCTGAAGAAGCCAAGCCAGAATTTCTCTTCCCCTGGCTCTAAAGGAAGGATGGGAAGGAAGTAACAGGAACTTTGGCAAGGTAATAATGGAGAGTAAAATTCAACCACTTAATTCAAAATAACATGTGCTTAACGTAGAAAAGTAAGGAAATCAAAGAATTTCAGATTTCATTCAGGAATGTATTGTATGGAGAATGATTTAGACTTTAGCTCCTAGTTAAGTAAGCTTACCTGTAACTGTGTGGAGGTTAGGATGCCTAAAAACTATCACATTGTATTTGTGTGAGGGCACAAAATATTTTTCCTTAAAGGAAAGGATGATTTGAGTTGTAAGACTACAATCAGGGTCATGAAAGGACTCAGAGCACAGAAGTGCAGCCTTTCTCTCCGTGGCCATCATTTTTAATTTTAGCCTAACTGACTTTTGATTGATTGATTGTGTGTGTGTGGATGGGTCTGTGTTAAAGTGGGCAGATGAGACACAGATAACCCAGACTAGAGAAAAATTATAAAAACTATTTGTAGCTTTGAATTACTTTTTTTTTTTGGTGGAGGAAGAGAGCGGTACTGGGAGTTGAACTCAGAACTTCATGTTTGCTAAGTAAGCACTCTGTCTCTTGAGCCATATCTCTAGATCTTTTTTCCTCTGGTTACTTTTTTTTTTTTTTTTTTGTCTGTCATGGGGCTTGAACTCT